TCGTATCGAAAGTCGGAACAATAAGACTGCTCGCATCAGGGCGAAGCCCTGATTGTTCCAATTGCCTTTTAAAGTCTATAGAGCAGTAATAATATAAAAAATTTAAATGTAATTAAATATAATTTAAAAAATTTTTTCTAAAATTTGAGATTTTTTTTAAACATCAATCTCCCCACTCGCCAAATAAAGTACAAAAGGATAGATTTCGTTACTTTTACAAATCAATTTTGACAAATAACCTTCTTTCAACCAATTTGGAACGATTACTAGGACGGATTAAATTTCCGGGATCTACATAACAATCCCCTACTCCTATTGTATCTATTAAAGAACCCCACCCCTGTAAATAAAAACAGTAAATTCGCACTAGAGTGTTCTATGTAAATTTGAGTTTTACTACATCCTGATTAGTCGGAAATTCGCTGCAGGTTATCTACTTAATGATTTACCCCCTTTCTTGAAAGGGGGGAGATTGTTAAGTAGATCCAATCTCCGCTTACGCGGTAAAAGCGCGAAATATATTGCGCGTTAATTGTCCTAAATTGGCCAAAATGGTAATCTTTAAACTCCCATAACTTCACAAAAAATGATCAGAGGGGAAGTATTTTTTCAAATTTTAGCTTATGACAACAATATCTTTCGAATGGTATTTTAAAAATCCGTCACAAATGGCTATTTAAAAAGTCTAAATTTGTCTGAAGAAAAAAATTTACCCGAGCAAAAATATTCCATGATTTTCGTTACAAATGTCAGAACTACAATTGAACAGTTAAACATATAAGAATTTTGTGCCTTGTTACCCGGGTTGAGGTACTCGACATCTGTTATGACTTTGAAAGTCGAGCAAGTGCAGTTTTGCAACTGCACTGAAAAAACTCAACCGAGCAAAAATATTCCATGATTTTCGTTACAAATGTCAGAACTACAATTGAACAGTTAAACATATACGAATTTTGTGCCTTGTTACCCGGGTTGAGGTACTCGACTTATGTTACGACTTTGAAAGTCGAGCAAGTGCAGCTTTGCAAGTGAAATTCCGCGGTCGAGAGGGAATTTTAAGTGAGCACAAAGTCGAAACTGATCAACCGTACAACTTCCCTTCCAAATCGATTGAGGAGGGACAAAATATGGATTTTACATCGGCTAATTTTGAGTACAGCCTAGATTCATTCAAAATTAAACATAATACTACAGAAATATCAATTGAAACCTTAATTTTGCTTAATTAACAGCATAAACAATGTAAAACCAATTTTATTTGCGCGTTTGTATGAAATGCACATTTTATACAATCATTTTTCAAAAATATTACATGCTTGGGGAGGGGATTCCACGGTAGATCTCATAGGGGGGGTAGATTGTACGGTAGATCACGACCTAATTTTTAGAAAAGGTTTGTATTAAATTTAGATCGGAAGTTGAGCGCAAAAAACTGCTCAAAAAAGACCTCCGTCAGAAAGTTGCAACCCGCAGCAGTAAATTGAGGAGATTTGCTTAACGCAAAACTGAAAGTTTCAGAGGGATCTTTTCAGTTTTGGAAATCTAATTCCTCAAATATCAGTTTTCACATCAACAGTTTCAGACCAGATAGTTGGAAAAAATAAAAGCTAAATTGGAAAATTCAACTAGAACAAAAGTTTACGTGTATGACAACTAGAACAAAAGTTTTCGCAAAAGAAGAATTTTGCATTTTGCCGAAACAATTTCTCCGAAGCAATAATTAGTTGGGAATCTTTAAGGCTCTTCCCTCTGATGGGTTTTCTCGAGGAGGGCTTCTTCCTGATAGTTTCAGGGCTTTTTCCTGAAACAAAGAACCTTGCTGTTCTGACTTTCAAAGAAAATTTTGGGATTTTTTTTGGTCGAGAAAATCCCAATTTTAGTCGGGTCGAAACGTACCTGACAATTTGTTTTTGGTCGGAACATACCCAACTTTAGTCGAGAAAATTGAAACCTATCGAACTTTGGTCGAGAAATTCGAAACACATCTTAACTGCGACGAACAATGTCGAACCATTTTTTTGTTGGGTCGAGAAGGTCGAAACAAACCAAAATTTGCAAATAAGTAAGTAGTTGATCGAGGGGAGACTCTTTAGGTTCTTTTTATTTTTTGCGCCCAACCATCAATATTTTGAACTGAAATATTTTGCCCCTTTTTTTGAGGAAAAATGACGACATATTTGTGCTCGGGATGGATTTTTTCAGACAAATTTAGATTTTTTAACAGGCATTTTTTACGAATTTTTTTTGTCGTCCGAAAATTTTTGTTGTTTTGAATTCAATTTCAAAAAAAATATTTTGACTGTGATCAATTGTCATAAGCTTATAGGTGTTTAAAGAACTGCCAATTTGGCCAATAGAGACGATATATTCCAAGCTTTTCATGCGTAGGCGGAGATTTTATCCGTCTTTTAAATTGTTTCAATTCGATTAATGCAAGCTATTTGTTATAATTGCAATTTTACTAGGAGCAAAACCTATGAGTTTTTTTTGTTTATGGCGTGTGAGGAATGGTTTCAAAAAATTTTCTTTTTTTTAGTTTTTAACATTTTTCTTAATTTTTCACATTGTTTATAAAAATTTGTCATTATTTTACAGCGAACACTGATTCATAGGTTTTTCAAAACAGTCGAAACAGTCAGGTTTTCGCCTTGATACGTACAATTTTTTTTTGCTTCAATATGTTTGAATAAAAGTTTTCAAGCAAATTTAGTATCAGCTCAAAATCTTTTGTTCACAATTTTACAAAGACATAAAAATAGCCGAATGGGCTCAGACTATAGATTGCTGGTGAATTCTTCAAAAATGTTTCAGTTTAAACTGCTCGTATCAGGACTTTTAAGTTCGATGCAGTAGTCTTCACTTTAGGAAAGTGGATGAAAATTTCAGAAGAAAATTTACACATATTAAAATCATTTTTTTTTGAAAATTATGACCTCACATTCTATTTATAGTACAAAGTTATACGTTTTGCTGTTAGCAAAAAATCGAATACACTAACTATTATGCCTAAATTCCAATTGGAACGATTTCTAAGATGAGTTATATCCGTTTACGCATTAATAGCACGATTTATATTGCGCAATAATTGTCCCATGTTTTTACCAATTTTGCAATTTAAAAAAAACCCATGATCTTACAAAAAATGAGCAGAGTTGGAACATTTTTTTAAAATTGAACTCAAGACAACAATACTTTTTGAATGAAGTAAATAATCTCGTCAAAGATTGCTAGTTAAAAAGTCGAAACTTATTTGGAGAAAAAAATCACCCCGAGCACAAATGTTCGTCATTTTTTTCGAAAATTGCAACGAAAAGCCTCAGAGTTTTACTCAGACCAGAAAAAATACAGAAAGTAGCTCCAGTAAAAACGAACCACCTTCAAAATTCGTCCTTGATAGAAATCAGCTGAAGAACAAACCAAGCCAATCAGTACAATCCGTTTTTTTATCTGCATTTATGCAGATTGAAAAATACAAAAAAATATGGGCAAAATAAGTAGAAAAAACCGTTTGTTTGTATTTAACAAATGGGGAAAACAACTTAACTAGAAATCCTCAAAATTAAACTCCTGAAAGACTAAGCTCTTCGACAGACATTAAATTGAGTGGTTGGTTCTTTAATCGAATCTATCGTTGATTACACAGGCTTTTGATCAGATCAATTTCTTACCAAGGTTATAGAACAACAAATGAATTAAAAGGCGCGTTTTAATTTATTGCTCCGCTGTACTTACATAATGTGGCATGTCAACGTGCCAAACTATCAAATGTGTGTTTACCGAAAGGTAATCTTTGACTTGATGGCTGCATCCTCTCAAATGCTTAGGTTTTGCCGGTCATAAAAAATGCTTTTTTTAACATTTATTTTTCACGACTGGCCATTTTGCTGCTTAAACATTTTTGATTAGAGAAAATTTTACTAAAATAGAAGTAAAAGTAACTACTAGAATGATCAGTTTAAAACTAGCCTATGTGGAACAAGTTCAAAAATTATTCTATATATTTAATTAAGTTTTTGATAACTATCACTACAATCCTTAGAACAAACCAATAATTGCCCATGGCTAAAAGATACAACAATTTGTAAGGCTGAAACTATTTATAGTTTCAGCCAGAGAAGAATAAATGTAACTTGGAAAGCAGTTGCTCTTCCTCCCCTCCATTCTCGCAAGAATACCAGCATATACTAGATCTATTGAGACTAGGAAGTATAAGAGTAAGATTTAGATCGGTATTGAGCCAAGAAGTTGCACGAATTTATCCCGCCGATATTTAGATAGTGTGACGAACAGACGGTGTACCCTATCCGAAATTACTCTTAAAGAAAGCCACCCCCGACTTAAACTTATCTTTTGCGACCAAACAAGTCTCGAGCAGATCAATACTAATTAAGATTGATAAAAACCATACATAGATTAGAGACATTAGATTAGAGAAAAAATCAACAAAATGGTAGGCCAAATCGAAATTAGAATTAGCTTATTTCCACGTCTCAATAAGTCTAATCAAATCAAGCCAATACTAAAGCCCAAACCAGGTCACAACAAAGACGACAAACCAAATCTAAGTATCGGGAAGCAAAACCGTAGATTACGATTATTGGAGGTTATATGTCTGCGGTTGTTAAAGCTTTGAGGCCTCTATAATCCCAAGATGGATCCAATTTGACTACATGTGCTATTTAGATTTCTTATGTTTTGAAAAGTAATGAATTTTTTTCTTTCTTGCTTTCTTGCAATTAAACACCAGTAAGGCTAATTGAAAAATGATAATTGCAGAAATATTTCTGAGCAGCTGACTCCATAATTAAAGAAATTTTTGAGAGTGGTACTCATTCATTTCATCAGCTGAAATAAAAAATAATGCCTTATCTGTTCCCGGCGGCATTGATTTTCTACGCAGGTGCGCATTTGTTTTTTCTTTTGATTGAACTTTTAATTTTCGTTTGCATGATAATGGGATTTACTCAAATATTCACATATTCACAGTTTTTTGGCGCAAATTGTTCAATTTTTTATTAATCGTTTTATATAATTTTGAAAAAATTACGACAAGTTTCGGTTGAAAATATTGAAAAGAGTAGGTAACAATTTTGATGATATAGTGTATGATAAATTATGATCGGGAGATCTCGTAAACTGTATATTTTAATTCTAATTTTGCTCTGCAGTCCTGCTCGACTGCAAGAACATAGTTGCGCCCAATGCTCAACATGCAGATCAGGAGGTGACGCCAAAGAAATCTTCGATGCGGCATTCGGTGAGAGAACAATTTTTAGCATAGCAAACGATTGGTAAATTTCACTCACAGAATTCATGATTTAAAGTTTTGCTCTTTTCGCTCAGCAACATGCGACAAGCCTCGATGTTTCAAAATACGTTTTTACTCGGGCCCAAGTTGCGGTTTTTGATTTGGCTGTGGCGACAAAATTTTGATAATTTTCCGGTGTCGCCACCAAAATTTGGCATTTCCAGAAATTGCAGACCGAGGAGATGTGCCCGCTACCGGCGCAACCCAGAAAAATTTTCTGCGGCCGGCGCGACCAAAATAATAAGGACTACAACTGGTACAACCGAAGAAAAGCTCACGGCGAACTTTCGTGACTGTTGCATTTTCTTTCTTTTTGCTCTTTTTTACATATTAAGTGTAATTTTTGCAGATCAATTGGTGATAGCAATTTAACGAATTCTGTACGAATAAGTCGAATAAGTAAGACATTTTTCAGTGAGTGCCGGAAATCAAGCCGAAAAGACTTCCAGCCGAATCGTAAAATTAGAGACTTCAAGCCAAACATTTTGTCAAAAAGTCAAGAAATTTGATTCAAAACTGTTCTGAAGAATTTCTTAATTTCATGAATGTTCTTCACAAGTTATTGGTTTATATAGTTTTTGAGCCTCTAGTTGGATTTTAATAATATTAAATATTAAAACATTATTGAAGGGGTTTTTCATGAGTAAAACTTAAACATTTCAAAATCCGGCTGATTAAACTATCTCATGCCACTCCTAATTGGTACGTTGTTATGAATAAAGTTTATTAGGAACTAAAATTGCTTAAATTGTTGAAAATAAAAACAACATTTTCAGCTGCTTGTAAAGTTAAATTTCGGTTTGAAGTCTCCGTCGGCTTATTGTCCTAGCATAATTCAGCATAAAAATTTTGATCCAAGTCACTGAGGGTTCTGGTAAACCCCCTTAAGTGTGATTGAGGGTTCTGGTAAAAAAGCAAGTGTGAGAACGTGGTCCCAAATTTTATTAATTTTAGGCGAATACCGCAACTAACTAACTCAAAATAGGCCGGTCAGTCATTTTCACTCTTTTTCTTAAACGTAATTAACTTGCCTCATTCGCGCCGAAACTTAACTTTAATTGACATCATCAAAGCCATAAATTGAACAAATTTGAGCCTGCCTGTTTACATTAGCGACCTGTTTTGTTTCTTGAGACCCCTTTAGCCTACTTGTACCACAATTTTTCGCTTTTGTATTTATTTTTCCTTTAATTTCTTACCTTAAAAATTATTTTTGCTTTGTCCACCTCACATTGAGGAGAGTAAAAAAATCCTCATCATTTGATGAGGTTTTTTAATATAAAGCTTTTAAATTTTCCTTTTTTAAAATAAAAAAACTTGCGAAGCAAAGATAGAAGTGTATGACTCAACTCTTGCCCGTTTGCTAGATTCAGTAGCTATCATATGGAACTATATTTCGTTCTACCTTCAATCCAAGCGCCCACAAAGGAGATCACTAACTTTCAATTCTATTCATTAAAAACTCGTCGTTTTATGCATAAAACTTTTTCATGGTCCTTGATTTTTAAATTGAAGTGCTGTCGAAATGGTTTCCTACATGATGAAAAATTATTACCAATCTAAAACTGTTTCACAACTAACTTCATTTAAGTACAGTGAGTCTAATTTAAGGTGGTTTAGTTTAAGATAAATTTAAGCTCTTTTCGTCATTAAAATTTTAAGCGGATAATTGTAGTCATTTATGAAAAGATCTAAGCCGAAAGGTGGAAGACTTTACAATTTTTCCATTTTTCCCTTTTTCTCTACAATTATTTGTCAGATTGCAAAATTTACGGAGAATATCCGAATTTGATTTAAATTAGTCACTTTAAAGAAACTCAAATTTTTTGGTTCTTTTGATTAGGTGTAGTAGAACAACAAACAATTTCCCACAGACGAAAAAATTGTAATTGTAAGAGCCTTTTTTAAAAATTTTATCCAGTTTTTTTTATATTATTTGTTTCTGGCTTTTTTTTTGACAGACATCATGCTTTAGATGTGAAAAAGACTGCTCATATATCAGGGCAAAGCCCTGAATGTTCCGACTGTCGCTTATTTCATATCGAATAGTTTTTGGGAACAAAAAAGTATGAAAATCCATGAAAACTTTGGACAATAATAAAGTGTGAAACTTTGAGCCGTATGAAATTATTACGACCGATTAGCTAGCCTCAATTCAATAAAGAGCGATTTTATTGTGCGGGATTATTCACCACGCATAAATAACTCGCGTTACTCTTGCTCACAGCATTGTGAATAAACTCTTCAAAGCGCGCTTAATTCATATCCCCAGCATTTTACAAAAAATGATTGGAGGTAAAAACATCTTTTTAAGTTTGAGCTCAAGAAGTCAATATCTTCAATGGAGTATAAAAACAATTTATTGAAAACCAGTATTTCGATCGGCGAAAATTGACTTAACAAAACACCACACGGAACATAAATATTCTGTTTTCTTTGAAAGTAGAAAAAATGCTGCTTTATAAATTGAATTTCCGCGTTAACGTATATGTAATTTACTGCTCCCGGCTGAACAGCAGTGTTACGTGGTAGTTCATCAATTGCTACTTGCCCGGGTTGACCAAAAACTTCTTATCATACAATTCAATACATTTCCATACGTACAAAGTATTGTATGAAATCTCTATGATAAGCATTGTTCCATATATGAAAATTGTATGACAAGTATTTTTCCATGAACCAAAAGTTTGTTTTTTTTCTAAATTTAATATCTGAAAAACTTTGGGTTGTGTTCGTGACCGAACGTAAGTGACAAAGACCTTGGCTTGTTCAAAGCACCAAAGTTTGGACAATTTTGCTTGCTAACTCTAATACAAAGATGAAAAAAATTAGACAGAAGGTTTTTAACGGGTTTTTATAATCAATCATACTAGCTCTTCCATTGCAGAATCGAAGAGTAGGTGAGAAAGAAACGTAAAATAAAAAAACAAAGTTGTTTGATTATGAGTGCAGTTTTGTCAAGATTTTGTTTTGGGCTGGAAAAACTGCACATTTGTGGAATGAAAGCCATTTAATTTTCAATATGAGAATATCAGTTGAATTTGTTCCTGTTCGAAAAATTTTTTTGGACAGATTAAAAGACCAGTCTGTCAACACGCGTTCGAAATGGTTGAAATATTCTTAAAAACTTCAATAAAAAACTAAACTTATAATCATTTTTTCTCAAAATAATTTACTGCTAGACGAAAAACATGTTCAACAAAACTTGCTTAGGACTTTGCTGAAATTAGTATGGACCTATTTGTTCTTCGGAAACCAAGGCCACAATCTCGGCGAGCAAATTTAGTGGCTCAATTTTTGGCTCAAATTAGTTGTTAAAACAACCCTAAATTTTCATCATAAAGTTGAATTCAAACTGAACGTCTTACTCACTCAGGCAAAAATTAAAAAGATTATAATGCAAAACGTTTTAAATCAATTTTCTAACAATAAATTGGCCGTTATATCTGTAAGGTTCGAAGAATTGCCCTCTACGCGCTGTATGTCTCAATTTACTACGCCGCAGAAAATATCCCTGTGGGACGAAGTTTGGAGGGGCGTCGGAAACTTAACACTACTCACAATCCCGAAAAGTTTTGTTTGGTTGCAAGTTACTCTTAATTGTATTCATATAATTAACTATTTTCGTGATGCACTATATTTTTTCCTTGAGTCGCAACTATTTTGATCAACGTACGTCAATTCAACTAATTGTTCAAAAAAACTTAACATTTCGCGGATAATATAGTTTAACAATTTACTTAAAAGAACGGTTTCACGGTCGCTTTTGACAATTGCCACTAGCAGTTCGTTTCTTTTATTACTGTATTTTTCCTTAATTGCTATCTTGGATAGCTAAATTTTGTTTCTCACTATTTTCATCGAACTAGCAGAGAACCAACTGGCCCCTTATAATCGTTCTCTTACGTTCAGAACCAACTAATAGACAGACTCCTTTTCAATAATTGATCTGATTCTTGGAGACTCTCCGGTACATTCTTGTTCTTTTACTTCGTTTCCCTTTTTTGTAAGTCTCGCATTCCCTGTCAATTCTGGCATCTGCTTATTTCACTCCTTCTCAAACGTTTTATAACTCGATCTGTCCCCCTGTCAACACTAATAATTGACAAGTGCCAAGATTCTTTTAACCAATTTGGTCATGTTTTTTAGATACGGGTAAAGGTGAGGTAGGCGTCACTATGTTATGTTACTCAGTGAGCCTCCCGAGACCAAATTGCCTCTCAAGACTCAGTGATCTCCATACCAAATTGCACAAATAAAAACTTTTTGGTTTTAGCAAAAGACTAATCTTATTTTGTCTGAATCATTTTTCGTCTAAATTCAACTGAACTGGTTTTGAAAAGAAAATGTTAAAACATCAGATTTTCTTAAATTTTTCCAGTAATTTAATTAACACTGTATAAGCAGCAGAAAATTTTTTAATTATTGCTTGAAATCTAAACCTTGTTTTATTGATTTTTTTTTTGCGAAACAATAATACATTAGGAAAAAAATAGTGTCAAAGTTGTGTTGCGAATATTTTAAGGAGCACTAACAACATTGAGCAGCAGAAAAGCTTACCAAAATGTCCGGCCGCTCTCAGTCATTTCCGCCCCAGTCACTTCCGCCCCAGTCACTTCCGCTCCAGTCACTTCCACTCCAGTTAACTCCGCCCCAAAAGAAGTCAGTTCGGAAATGACTGCTTTTGAGGCGAAGATGACTGGGGCGGAAATGACTGGTCACGCATCCAGTAATTCCATTTTCTGTGACACTGAATTTTACCCGGGGAGAATTAGATGGGCAAATATCGTTCCACTTCAGAACTTTGATTTCTTTACAACACAGCTTAGATTTATTTTTTGACAACCATGAAAAACAGAACATAATGTACAAAAACAAACTCATGCATTTTGAGAACGCTACAGTGAAGTTATTTAGCTCATCGCATAAACTTTATAGGCTCTCAATAAACTTAGCAGTCGCAACGTTTCCAAAAGGTTTGAAGTTATAAAACCAATGAAAGATGATGAAAATTTTCAGAGTTTGTTACCAGTAACAGTGAATTCAGTGGAATGGGCAGAGCCCCTGACTATCCAGATGAAAAGTCGGCAATTCCCGGGTGTCCAACTGAAAAAGATGAGGACCCTGACACCACTGGAACTCTATCAAGTGGTTGCCTCTCCATGGCTCTGAGCACATTCTCCAACACGGGCGAGATCAAAAACGTTACTCTTTCATGTGTTATACTGATGGCTAAGGAACATTTTTTGCAGATGGGCGCAATACCATCAGATCAGCTCCCAGCTAGTAAGTCAACCCATTCTGAAAGCGCAAAAGATTTATCACTGGGTACATAAGTTTCATTAAAAGATGGCGGTAAAAATTCCACCCTGGTCAATTCATTTAAAGGATTACGTCTCAAATGGCATAATTCCCAAATGGCATAAAAATGAAAAATTTCCCAAATGGCATAAATTACATGCAACTGTTGCATTGAAAAAATCGAGATCAATTTGTCGTGAAAAATGTGGGAAAAAAGTCAAATTGTCAATGCAAATGTTGATTGACATTTTATCTTCAAAAAGTTGTAGAATTTTTTTCCATCAAAAGCAAGAATCATAAGCTTGCGGTTATTAATAAGCTTCTTGTGGTCAACTTTTTTGACAATTTGTTGCGTAAATTTGTTTGGAAGCAATTAATTCCAAATCTTGTATCTTGTTCACATGCTTTTGTTCCTGAAAAAATGTTAGAATTAGAAATAGATAGAAAATGTTTAAATTACAATGAAAACTTGAAATTTATGCCATTTGGGAAAAGTTTCCATCTTTATGCCATTTGGGAATTATGCCATTTGGGAAGTTACCATTTAAAGGCCTTTCTTTATGTTTACTTCGACGCTTATAAGGTTACTTTTGATGAAAAAAAACCTTTGAAAAAAATTTCGATAAAAAAACTTCACCCGCTCTCAACAAACCCCCCCCCCCCCCCCCCACGCAAAGCTGCCTTGACCAAAAAATGAAACATTTTGAGCTTATCAACGCAATATTTGGATCAATTAGCTATAGCCTCAATTCAATTTGGAATGATTTTTAAGCCTGAGTAGTTCATCGCCTTAGACGTTCGTTTAAGTGTTTGGGCATCGTGCATCTTTTTTCAACACTCACATCACACATGTCTCTCAGCTGCTGCTTTCTCTGATGTTTGCTGTCTTGAATACATTTTCTTGCGCGTTTTCTACCACACTTTTGGGCTGATGTTCCTCGCCTTGAACATAAGGTTCAGATCAATTGGCAAGTGGTTTTGACGCCTGCCTGCCGCTTCCACAAATCGCCTCTATAAGGAACTCCAATTACATTGGTACTCTGGTTTCAAGGCTGCATCACTTTCAGTCGCCTCTTTTGCATGCTGTTCAATCAATGGATAACTACAGTAAACCTCTGCTTCTGAGTACCTTGGAAGACATGGTTAAGTTATTGCGTGCAAACCTATAATGTTGATTTAGTCGGAAATGTTCAAATCCCCATAATTTCACAGAATAAAAAATCAGTCTAAAACGTTTCGGTCAAAATTTGTTAATTGAAGGCCAACTTTTTTTTCGGCAATCCAGTTAGGGGTTTTTGACAATCCAAGCATTGAAACGGAATCTAACACAAACGGTGTTTTTTCATTCTTCTTAACACATTTGGTAGTTAGGATCTGAATGAATTATCTGATGGCTTTATAGCAAGTTTCGGAAGCAAAAAGAAACAAAAACTGAAAACTAGAAAACCCGAACGTGTTTGCCAATTTACATTTTGATATTGATAACTTCTAGCAATAATAAGAAACAGTAAGAAAACTGCTTTTTTGCACCCGTTTTCAGTATTAATTTTTCCGTCTGAAAATTTAAAAATCTATAAACTCCCTATTGTACTTACTGTTTCACCAAAAATCTTTAAATCTTTAAAAACTCCCAATAAAAGTTGCTGTTCCACCAAAACTTAAAAATCATTTAAAATTGGTTGTTCAACTTAAACCTGTTGCTTCAAAAGTTTTTGCATTGACAATTTCACAAAGGGAAGGGAAGAAACTATGGTGTGGGGTCCACGTTTTCTTCCCAGTGTTGAATAATTTAAGGAAAACTTGTGGGTCAAATGTAGTATGATATTAAATCACTTGAAGCCTTGATTTGGATTTACAAAAGTTTCAAAACAAATTTCTCGATGTGGAGAAAAACGTTTAGAAAGTTCCAATATTTAAACCACATTTTTGAAAATAGGTGACAAATCAGTTTGAATAATACTCAATGTTCAATGTAGTTTCGTACTTGACTTAATAGTTTTTGTTGCGACTTTCGAAGAAAGTGAAGAATATATATGCCCGGGGTGGTTTTTGTTATGCAGACCAATTTTAGGATAGTTGACTGCGTATGGGCATCGATCCGGAAATCTTGGGATTGCCAACCAAATTAGTTCTAATTATTTATAGGGTTCCATTTAGTGTAGATACATCAATTCCTAATTATAGGGTGCTTTTATTTTTTATCTGCTGTTGTATACTTGCAAAATCAGTCCTGACTAGAGATGAATCAGAGTCATTTGTATAGTAACTTATAGCGCTGATTCGTTGATGTGTCTCAGATCTGATCATGGATCGATCACATGTCATTCATCAGAGCTTGAATCAGCGTTGGAGAAAAATTATGACTTTTTCGTTGAAACAGCCTTGATCATCCCTTCATTCATGCTTACTTTGGGCAAAATTTAACACAAATGATAACACAAAGAAGTGTTTCGATCTATCCTACTAAAATTGAAGCGTATAAACGGTGTATCAGAACAAAGTTTTCTCTATGAGAAGGTATTTTTTTTACCCATTTCATTATCTCAACTCTTAGTATTCTGTAGAACGGAAAGGTTTGACTTTCTCTGCGGGGTGTTAGAGAGAATAAGAGCACAAAAAATGTTAAGTAAATGGAAATTGTTTTTAACAGTTCGAAAAAACTGAACAAAGCTGATGTAGAATTAATATCTGTCAATTGAAAAAAAACATGAGTCAAAGTCCATCAAAATTGCATGAGTTGTTTATATTGGTAAGTTTCTTAAGAAAACATCCATTGGAATGTTTATTCTGATAAAACATTTAAAATTAAACTTTGCTTTTGAAGGAATGAAAACTTTGGCTGAACTTGTTGTCATACAGAATTCGTTAAAAAGTGAGTTAACAATTTGCAAAAAAAAAGTGTTTGGAATCGAAATTTTACAAAAAATGGTTGGTTAAACTGTTTCTTATGGCGTTGCTAAAAAATTTGAAATCAATAGTTTTCAATTTCTATTGGAATCCCCTGTTATGTATTTTCTATTGCAGTCTATTTCGCTTTCATTTTCCTTCAAGACACTCGTAATCTATTTCACTAAAAATTTTTGAGGCACCGAAATTGAGGTACAAGTTAGTTTTGGGCTTATTAATTTTTTGTTTAACAAAGATTATATCATTAGTTAGCTTTTAGCTTAATTACAAAAAGACACAAAACCCCCGCCTGTAAAATTTCAAGTTATTACGACGGCATGCTATTACGACTAAGTGAAGCGTTTTACTAATTGAAGAACCACTGATCTTATTAATCATAATAGTTTGTTTGCATTTCTATTGTGTGATATAGATAAATTTACCAATCATGTCAACAATTTTAATTCCTAGGAGAGCACCATTGAACATACAAGTCCGTTCACAAAGGTCTCAGAGCAGAAATTTATCAGTTAGTTTATGATACAATGTGATACACAGTGAGAAAAATATTATCTAAATTTGAAATCAAGTTATGTAAATACTTTGATTTTATTTGTTAGGGTTTTCGCCCAAGAACAAAAAAAATTTTCGTGGAAAAAAATACAAAAAAGAAGAGCCTCATTTAACTAATAGAAAAAACTTCTCAAAAGTTCTTGCTTATCCAAGATATAAAAATCTTTAAAAAACCTAAAAGTTTTTTCAGGTTTTCCAGAAAAATTTTCATGGAAAAATTTTTCAATTTTTCCAGAAAATTAGGATGAAAGCTTACGATAATGACAATGATGCTTAAAATTTTTCACAGACTAGCAACAATGGACTCAGTTGAGTTTTTTATACTCCTCTTGGCCGTCTTCTAGCTGGGCTGCTGTATTTCGGGATGTTTAACCAACAGAACCAACGTGTTAATTGAGGCTCAGTAGTTATGTGAACTCCTAAAAATCGCTCATTTGGCTGATCCTTTAGGTTAAAATTTTCTGGGATGTTATTTTTTTTGGTTGAATTTCCAAAAAAAATAATGTTTTCTTTTTATTTTCGCTTAATGTCCTTGTTTTGGTTTCATAATGCTGCTGTTTTGTTCAAAGCAGCATGGTGTTCAGCATGCACGGACTTCCCAGTGTACATTTTCTAATTACACGGTCGAGTGTATTTAGTATAGATTGTGTGTTTGCCTGGTTTGAGTTGATTTCCATAAAAAAATATATGAAAAGCAGTTGATCCACAGTTTCTCTTGGAAAAACACCAAATCAGACTTTCCATAGTTTTGAGTTTGCACGATTAGTTGTTTACTTTTTACTTCCTATTACTCAAATAAAATCTTATTATTTGACCAATTGAACCTTTTGGTTCATGCGAATTGCATTTTCGACAGAATTAAGTGATCTACCGCCAGAATTAAGTGTAGTGAATTGCGACTTTTAACTCCGATAAGTCAAACAATTGCACCAACGGTTCCTCGACATGACCAAACATTGAACTAATTTATGTTGATTAAAACAACTTTATTTAATTATGAAATCAGCGGTTGTGTATGAATTGTTTAAGGAGCTTGCCTATCGATGGCGGTAAAGCTTTTGGACGAAAATTTGAGGGAACTGCCTGATTACTATTTTTTTTATTGGAGTGAATTTGGTCAAATAAAGGCTACCAGGAAAAATGCCATTTCAAAACATTGTTGAATCAATTTAGTTAATATTGGTGCAGAAACCCACTTAACATTTTTTAAAAATTGTTATTCAAATTGTGAACGTCTGTGTTGACTTTTACTGTGTACATTCTTATACTACGAAAACTTCACCGTGGCCCATTGATATCAAAGAAATTAAATGTATGTAATTATCCAGAGTTGGCAATCTGCCTTAGCATGCAGTTTCATTTCATTACAAATATAATAAAAAAATTAAGAAACGTCACTCAAAATAGGGAAAACAAGTGCAAAAAAACAGCTTTTGATAGTGCGTAACCTTTTAAGAGCCGATCAAATTACAATTGAAATAGTTTCTGTATGATAAATAACTCGATATTTCAAGAGGTTTAATTGAGAGTGCTGATTTTTTATATTTAAATTTACAAACACTCCTTGAATGCCAATCGAAGGAATACGATAATTTGCGGACATTTATTTTTTGACTAAAAAAAAGAGTTCCAAGGATTCAAAAAAGTTCTTTTACTTAAAGATAGCGATTACTTAGATTAAAGATTTCGATCAAACAAACGTTCAGCCTAAGTTTCGGACATTTAAATTGTCAGCTTAGATTTTTTCAAACGCTATTTTTAGCCGAGCGTTTTTACTAGACTTCGGATTTATTTTGTTCCAAATTTTGAAAAAAAAGTGCAAAGTTTCGCCGACACGCGCCAAATTTTGGCAAAAAAGAAATGAATTGGCAAGTAATTTGAACAAAATCGGCGCTCTAAGTAAAATACTGAAAAAATATTTGCTTGCTAAAATTTTAGCAAGTTATGAGATGTGAAAGATTCCAACTCCGCCATTTTGCCCACCATATTTTAAATTTCTCATTATAAACACGGCGCATCCGTCTATTTAATCCGACTCAAAAATGGTTAAAATTGAATCGAAATCATGTAATTGATATTAATAATGCGCTAATAGCAACGAAATTAATCATTTTGCGTTGACAATGTTTGAGAGGAAGGTTATCAAAAACATATATTTTTTGTTATCATTAGTTTTGTTTTTGTTTTGAAGTTAGGTTTTAAACGCTGCGTTTTTAAAATCAACCTTCTGTTCTGTTCAATAGTGCAGGTTAATGTTACATGAAAATTCTAGCAGCTTTATTGTTTGAGTTCTGAGTGCCATGGAAACTACGTTGACGGCAGATAAAATAAAGAGCTGGATCAATGAGTCAAGTATGAAAAGTGACCAGGTGGATTCCGTGTCAGTCTATGTCAGCATGTGCGACGACAAAAACAACTGCAACGCCATGGCATTATGATTGTTTTCTGGCGGGAAGTGTAAAGTAGAGAAATTATCAAAATTGATCAGCCATATTTATTTAAAGTTCTCCCACAAAAATTTCACAGATATGTTTTTTAAATTTTTTCAGAAGTTTTAGGGCGCTTTTCAGAATTTGACTGTTCCGCGCTTTTCTTTCCTAGTATGATTAGCTTGTAGCAAAAGAAGCTAAAAAACATGCGATTCATGGATACCCCGCGTCGACGTTTGCGATTTATGTTTCGAACGGCTCGACCAAAAAATGGTATGTTTCAACCGATTCAAGAGAAGTTGTCTATGTTTCGACCAAGTTCGATCGAGGAAGAACATTTCGACCAAATTCGACCGAGGAAAACGTTTCGACCATGTTCGACCGATGAGTTTTTTCAATCGCACTCGACCATGGGGCCTTCTCGACTATGGATTTTCAGTCGAACTCTGACATGTGTTCGATTCGCCTCGAGCAAAACGTAAATCGCAAACCTCAACCCGGGCACCTACACAGCTCATAACTTGTAGACGTTGTAGTAATTCCACATTTTTCAAGATTTCTTGAGCTCGGACAAATGCCAAAAAAATTTCAATGACAAAGCGCTTAAAAACTTACCTTTTCAGGCCATTTTAGATGATTAAAATTAAGTTCAGCGTCACTAACATCCTTTGATTTAATAGCAATCATTAACCATGCTAAGTTTTGCGGCATTAGAAGACGCCATTGTTTTAAGCCAGAAGATCACCTGCCCCATATGTGCGAAAACTGAAGCGAGTTATCTCGATCGCATTAATTCGAGGTTACAAGTTATGATTATGATCGGTCTTCATAATTTTTCCTGTTCAAACCTGGTGGGATCTTGCCATGGCATTGGCTTAAAATTGCGTTTTGGTAATTCTACGCACATGTGTTGTTTTTGCAGTGGTCGGAATCGTGAATGCTCCGAAAGAGAGCGAGTGGATGCGCTATTACTTTTTTTGTTGGCCCAACAGGTTAGTAGTGCAAGTTCGGATGGTTTCAAAATGTTATATTCTAATTATTATATTAACTGCTAACTGCTAATAACATGTTGGGCCAACAAAGTAATAGCGCATCCACTCGCTCTCTTTCGGGAGAGCTTTAATTAAATAGAATTATATAATATTTAGATTATAACATTTTGAAACCATTCGAATTTGCGCTAACTAATGTTATAAAAGGGGACATGAGTAGTTGAGGCGATGATATAAATCCAAAAACGAGCGTTGAAATAGAAAATTTCATTTAAAATACTCCAGAAAACAATTGTCTCTGCAGCCTGAAAACGGAAAAAAGGCGTTTGTGTTCGGCATCGGAAAATACAACATCGAAGACATTGAAAATGACAGTTCAGCGGTCGTGCAGAAACTAATGACTGTCTTCCAAGCATTTTGTGAGAAGGTGATGTCTAAAATGGTGGGGGTGTGGGGGTGTTCTTCTCCAGAAGTGTTAGCTGCAGGCGATGACAAAAAAGAGGGAAACAAAAGATTGAAGCGATCAACTGGGGAAGAAGTATTAATTAATTTTTGTTACAATAACTTTCCGTTGTTCGTGATGACGAATCGTTTTTTCGAGCGATTTCAGGTGCACATGTATGTATATCAAAGAAAGCTCATACGTTCGGGCGACGGAGTCAACCTCTATTTAATTTTTTATGATAGCGTTTCCCATGGTTTAGCAATTACTGCTTTTTTCATGAAGCTTAGCTTTAATACGAATCGCTAACCGCTGCCGAAATTGTAAAAAAAAGTGTAACGCAGGTAAAGCATAGTGCAGAAAAAGCGACGCAAAAAAAGAAATAAGCTCAAGCAACGTAAAATGATAGCAACAAAAAAAATAAAATTAAGCACCAAGTTTTTCGTCGTCTTCAAACGGCAAGAGGTTTATTTTTTTTCTTCAATCCGCTTTTTTGAGTTTTTTAAGTATTTTTAAAGTTTTTTAAAGTATTAGAAAATAAACTAAAATAAAACGAAAGATAAATCGAACTGGGGAAATTTTTGTGACGATGAAAAAGAAAAAATATAGTTTTTGTTAAGTAGAATGGCCACAATTACATTAAGCAATCTTTATAACGGATAGCAATCTTCATAAGCAATCTTCATAAGCAATCTTCATAGACTCAGATCGGCTTTTCAAAAAAAAAATTTCCGCTTTCGATCAATTTGATTTTCAGAGCTCTCCGAAAACAAAACACGGAGGACCTATTTTGTTAATAGTTTTCTGCGCCGCAGGCAAATTTTGAAAAAAAAAATTAAGCTTTAAATTTGACCTAAAAATATTGTTTTTTTTGGCGCGCGCTCTTCCTTCAAATTTGGTTATATTGAGGCATTTAGAAAAAACAATTTTGGTCAGCCAAAAATGGAAAGAATCAATTGGAAGTGAAAGTGCGTTGAGAAGAAAAATAAAAGAAAATAGCTTGGCATAATGATCATAATTAACTTTTCAAAAATATCAACTAAACATAACATCAAAAATTTTGTTGCAATTTTTTTCTTAAAGCTTGAAAATCTTTTTTTTGTTTTTGCATTAAAACTAAGGTTTTCACGACTTTGATAACCGGTGTTCATTTAAAAAACTGTAATATCCTTTGCAAAAGAAAATTTTGAAAAAGTACAATATCAAAAATCAATTGTAGAAGATTGAGTCGGAAAAAATTGATACGACCGATCACCTAGCCTCAATTCAATTTGGAACGATTTTGTTAAGCCGAATAACAAATAATTTGTCTAGTGAAAAGAATCTTCAAAGCGCGCATAATTTTTTCCAGAGCATGGCCAAATTTTCAAACTCCCATATTTTGCAAAAACTGATCAAAGGTCGGCTTTCTTTTGATATTTGACTTCAAAGAGTCAATATTTTCAAAATTGTACAAAAGTTTCTTTTAAAAAAAACTATTATTTAGATCGCCGATCACTGTCTGAAAAATGAAAAAAACCACCCCAATCATAGTTATTGCGTTTTCTTCAACAGTCGGAACAATAACGGCTATCAGTAGAATATCTAAAGAAAGAGATCTAGATTGAAATATATCTGCAAATTAAAACAAATATGTGCAAGGTTTCGATGCAAAAATATGATTATTGTTTAGATTATTAACAGTACAAAACAGGGGTTCCGCAAACAGGGGTTCGCGCAGGTGGTTTAATCTGCGCGCTTGTTTGAGATGAATGTTTTCTGTTGAGATGACTTAAACTTCAGATTTAATACATGCTTGGAAAAAATATTCTACGGTAGATCGATTTGGGGAAGGAAAATTTAAGGTTGATCAAAGTATGCCTTAAAGCCCATCAAATATTAAGAAAAATTTTTCATTGAACAAAGGGAAAGAATTGAATTTAAAAAAATCGTTACCAAACCGCAACAAATCCAAACTTAGCGTGAACAAAACTTTGCCTTTTTTACTGAAAAACAAAAAGATGACAATTGTTGATGACCCACATAAGCATTTACTGATTGCAGTAATTTTTTAATTGAAAAGTGGCCAGAAACTACTGCTGATTAACAATATTTTTGATGGACACTTTTTTAATTTGAAAAAAAAACATATTAAAAAAGTTGAGCCAATAAATTTTCGGCTGGGAAACCTGAAAAAAATTCGTATTCCGAAATAAAAATTCAATCAATTTTTCTTAAAATTTGGCAAACTAAGTGTTTGGTTTTGGGGTTTGTCTTCTTTTTAACAAAAGAAACGAACTGAAATCAAAAATTCATAAGCTCTTCGCAACAATCATTTTCAGGCGTATAGAAAATGGATGATTTTTACTGGGAAAAAATATTTTACGGCTTTCATAAGTGTCTTCACTGAGCTTTTTGAAACTTCAAAAAACAAACACGCTCAAGCTGTTTTTTCTTGTTTAAATATATTTATTGAACAAAAAGCAGCCAATAACAATTCGTGATTTACATAAATATTTCTGCAAGAAACCACAAGTTGTCAAACAAGCTCTAAAAAATACCCGACTTCTGTGTAAATGGTCCAAAACGACACAACTAGGTGTGCTCGGGGTGGTTTTTTTATCCAGACAAACTTCGACTTATTGACTTTTTGACGGAATTTTTTCATAAAGTGTTGCCTTGAGCTCAAATTTAGAAAGAAATTTCAATTGTGATCATTTTTCGCAATGTTATGGGGGTTCCAGGTTGCCAGCTAGGCCAATTTGGAACAATTAAAGCGCAATATACTTCGGGTTATCAAAGCGTAAGCGGTCAGTTAATCCATTTTAGAAACCGTTCCAAATTGAACGGAGGCATGAAACTGAGTCTAATTAATATTTTGCTACATGCGAAAGATATCAGTTGGTTCTTAACACAGCGTGTCGGGAATTTTTCTCAAAAAACCTGAAAAAAAAATTTCGAAAATGTTTCTATTTATTTATATATTTTCTATCTTCATCATTTCTCAACAATACTTCATATACCTCAAAAGGCACTGAGAAAAAGGCACAGGGTTTCACATTGATACGAGCAGTTTTATCATTCTGCTGCTTTAATTTCGACACGTACGAGCTTTCTTATACCACAGTTTTTTCCTCAAACTTGGTCGGAACAGAAGTTTTATAAGCAGAAAGCACGGAAAACAGACAAAACAAAAAAATTTAAGTTTCAATTTTTTTTCCAAATTTTCTTTAATGATTGAAACTTCTTTTAAGACTGGACTAACCTTTTCTGAGAACTGGATTTATAAATTTTTTAATCTTCGGAGATTTCTGAAAATTAACACCGATTTATAGAACTAAATTATTTCAATTCATTTTCAGCCATATGCATTTTATGTACTGGAGAGCGTGATTTGCCTGACATTTAGCAAATGAAACTGATGTGAACCTAAGAAGAAATTAAATGTCGAACTGTAAAAAAAAAAACAGATTTGAGTGCTTATAATTTTTAGACCTCTCTCCTGAAGAAACGCATTAGTTTCATTGACATTTACAATAATCTAGGTTACGACAAGAAAACACTTGAATTAGTTTAATTGTTTTTAAAATTTCGCATTAACTAATGCGTCGCAAAAATCTGTGCTAATTGCAAAACAACCTATTGCTTTTTTTGTTGTTTATTCCAGCCATCGAACGAGTTCTGGCCCTGTGCCAAAATGAGTTAGCTTCATGTGGGATGTATTGATAAACTTTTGATTAGGGTTTTCTGCCAATATGGTTTTATATTTAACATTTTAAGAAGTAAATTCAGTTTCTGTCAATGATCGCATGTCGATGAAAATTTAAATAAAGAGTTTCAAAAATCAAATCAAAGTCAAATTGAATATCATTTGAATACAGTCTTGAACTTAAAAAACAAAGCCAAAACTGACTTGTTTCTTGAAAAAACTTCGATTTGAGACTTTCAAAAATACATATACACCCTCAAAGCTCTTTGAATTTCAAAAACAATTTAATATTGGTGTTTTTTTATAATATTAATCCAATTCGAGAAAAATGGACCAATAGCTAAGGATTTAATTCCGCTGGGAAATCTAAAAATTAACATCAACTTTCGAATCTAAAAATTAGCCAAAAAATCACGTTTTTTTGCGCCATTTCCACGTTAGTTTTTGGGGAGTGTTATTTTCGAAACTCTGAGCAGATGAACTTCAATTGAACTCAAAAAGGGCATATATACCTAAGTGCATTCAAAAGATGCATCAATATCTATGAATGCACATCAGTAGTTATAAGACTTTCCTGAAAATGAAAACAAATTACCAATACCTATATAAGAGTTGTAACGCTACGTAACTACGTAACGTTCATCACTCTCAATAAAAAACAAAAACTGAAATCAAGTCAAGTCCTTAACTTTTCTCCTACGATATCTTTAAAATAATTTCAAAAAATTTCAGGCGGATTACGAAGTACAGGTCACACTCGATGTTACAATTGGTATTGAATACAGCGATAACGACGTGAACAAGGTTTACCAAACGGTCATCAACGAACTGGGCAAAGATGACGAGTTCGCTATGGTGGTGGAAAAGTTCTCCCAATCAATCCAAACCAAGTCGGCAGCTGAAAAAACTGCCCGGAACATATATGCAGTTATGCTGGCATGGTCTATCCTGTCAATTTTGTTTTCCTGTGGCTATCACTGAAAATCCTCAAAAAAATACAACGCGTCAACGAATTGAACTTAGATCTTCACCACAAAAATTTACTTCTCGAGACTGTCAGCTTTAAAAAAAAGGCAAAAAATGCGTCGATCCGTTCTGCAAACGACTCAGATGCGTTCATTGCACATAAAAACACAATATCAGAAGTTTGACAACATAATCATTATGAATTTTGTTCTGCTTGCGCGAGTATAATTCATTTTTTTTTTGTTCAAAAAGTCCTTGCTATCAATCAATCTCAAAATATAGGACATTAAAGGATCATAATGAGAAGTTCATACAAATAGTTGAACCACAAAATCAGCCGAGTTATGGGAAACTAAACAAAACAACTTATCTCTATTGAAATAAAAATCTGATTGAGTGTATTTAATGAAAATATTTCAAGTTTCAGATTGTTTTATTTGCTTCTCATTTTCAGTTTGAGGAGAACCACTTTCGACTTTCTCGTCCAGCTGTGATTGTAAACCAGTGCGAAGTAGTTTTCTACCAAGTAACTGTATAGCTATTGCCCCAAGAGGTGCAGTTAGCAGAATGGCCAGCACAGCAGTTGTCAGAACATCACTCGCATAAGCCTCGTAATTTTCCGTCTTAACGTTGTGAGACCTGGAAACGAAAATTCTCAACAATTTAGGTGTGACAATGCTGTAGCTAGCATAAAAATTCAGAATTACGAGAAAAAAGTAACAGTTAAAGATGCTTTTCCTCATTTTTAGTTCGTAGTCGGAACATAAAAACACGAGTTCCAATTATTCTACCCAATTGGAAAAAGGGACTTAAAATTTACAGGAATGATCGGTAGCTACGCAGGTGGCTCAGGAAAATGCGTCCACAATAACTAGGTAGGTCAATTAACCCGAGAAAACCGGAGAAAAATCAAAAAAATTTTCTCGACACTTTTATTCAAGCTGGAAGGGCTTTATAAAGCTATCACAATTGAGGTTTTACAAGCTTTCTTTGAGGTGCGGAAATTAGGAGGGAAATCCAACCTACGCCATTATATATTTAATTGTCAGGCAAAATTTTCACTTTCACGTATGCAATTAGCTGCAATAATAAACAAGGATGGCCGGTTATAGAGCAAGTAGCACAGAATAACGTGGTGTGATAAAAAAGATGCGTGGTTTGATGAAAAAAAAGATGCGAACGAAAAACTATAACTTTGAGAAAATAGCATATTCGACAGTCATAGTAAAATAGGCCAATTGAAAACGGTTTTTGTAGAAAAAATAAAAAAAAACTTGTAGAAATAGAAAATTACAGAATTTCTTTTACCGAAAATTTCGAATTTTTGATTCGCAAAATGGCGCTTAAAAACTCCAAAAATTAACTTTACTTCAGTAAATTAGGCATTATCGATACTTACCGATAACAGTTTTCTTTAGTAAAATCAAGTTTTCTGAGCCGAACTGACCAATGTTATTCAATCGTTGTCGCTCGAAATTAGACAATAAATGAAAAATTTCAAACCGGTTTTTCTCGACATTGGGCGATTTAAAAAAATTAATGACGTTCGGATAAGGACTGGAGTGAAAAAAATGGTCGGAAAAAAATATATTAAAATAGCTCACATAAAGTTAATCGAAACTTACAGTGTACATACTATTAGTAAACACAGGAGATACAACACACTCATAGCATCAAAAGATAGTAGACGGGATGAAAACGTCGGAAAAGACTACCATAAATTTCATACGCGTCTATTTGCATAAAAGGAAAACATGCCAAATAAGCTACCTGCCAGAAATGAATTAGGATCGGCACTGAGTTTACGCATCGGTAAATAAGCCGACAACACTTGAGTAGCCGACACACTCATAGGACAACTTTTTTCGCTTCCAAACGACGCAATATGAAAAGACTAAGCCGATATATTATGAGCTCTCTTATATCAAATAAAGCAAAAAAACTGAAACGTAACAGACCAAATCTGAGTTGGTGACACTTCAATCAGCATTAAAAACAAACTTCGAACAGAAAGGATTTTAAAAACAGACATGCTCACGACGAAATTACAGTTGAGTAATTGATTAAATAATTCTGTGGAAAAAGCTGCTCAGATTCGATAACGCTTGCTAATCGTAAAAATAATAGAACTTAAGTTCAAAAAATCAAGGAGGCTTGTGTAAAAAATATTTTGAAAACCCTTATCAAACGCCGATATAGAACTTTCTTGAGGGGGCGCATTTGGTCATGAGCTTTTTCAAAATACAAGAATTTTAGGAAAATGTTCTGCGCCACAAGCGAGCTTTCGAACACAGGCCAAATTCTCATTTTTGAATACTTTTTGGAAAATTTTGACCAATTGACGCCTTTAAAAAACAGTCAGCCAAAAATAGTTTTCGGAAAACAAAACCGACATAAGGGTTTAAACTAAATTTGAAAACAAACACCTTGCAACTGAGCCGGCAAAGCTGGGGCGAAATATATGCGGTCAAAAAATATCAATGTTCTTTTGAAAATTACTTCAGCAGATCTAAGTTTTGAAAACTCACTTGATGTAGTCCAGAGGAACTGAGCCAATTGCGGCCTGCACTGTGGCTTTTGGACTCCAGGCGACAGCCACGAACAACATTTCACGCCAGTTCAAATTACTCCCGAAAGTACACAAAAAGCTGGCAGCAACCCGAAATATGAGTCCGACTGTAATCACAAGTACACAAAGCAGAGCCCGGATGTTCATCACGACTAAAAGGTCAACTTCGTAGCCAATCAGACCGAAGAGAAAAGGCATCAAAAGTTGCCACAGCTGTTTAAACCACGACTCCATGACTTCGCTGACTGCTGGGTTCTTTCGGCCGACAATCACAGCGAAGATCAAACACGACAAAGGTCCTGCACCTCGCGCATCGAGACGAGAAGCGCCGAGGACAAAAACTACACATATTAGAAGGATTGTGATGAAAAACTTCTTAGATGAGATAGTATTTTGAGATTTGAGAGGAGGAAAGATATAAATGAGGAGTCCCAGAAACACTCCTAGGGCGACCCCGCCAATCAGTTCGACCAAGAGCATGATATAAGATGTCGCGTTCCCAGTTGCCATGCAGATGTCTAAGCATATAAAATATTTTCAAAGCTTCCTTCATCTTGACGATGCGCAAACTAAAAACGCAACAGAATATAGTGATCACGGACAACTTAATTGAAACAATCGCCAACACCGTGAATTCATTAAGTCTCCGCTCTAAATTTGTTTGAAAAGCAATAATATTCAGACCCTTTTTCTCGACAACTAGAACATTTGTCGGAATTTTATCGCAGTTCGAGTCACACCCGAGATGGCTTCCATTTGATATGAAACTGCGCGATTTTTTTTATTGTACCTGTAATTGCTAGGTAAAAAGACAATATCAAGTTCCCAACCACGAAGTCCTTTAACACCGATGATTCGAATAGCGACAAACTCCAATATCAAAAAACTGCCAAAAGACGGAAAACCACACGACCTTAAAATAGATAAAATCATTCAGTTCATTAATTACATAATCGCAGCGTACTGTCTTATAACGGTATCCACTTTTTTGTCGAAAATCAACATTGAATTTGGTTTTTAATTTTTTTGGGACGCAGGATTTTTTTGGGGAAATTGTTTTATTTCTCGTGAACAACTATGTGAATTTTCACAAAAGTGGTACCAATCGAAAGACCGGATACTCAGCTGTCTGCCTGCATGATCCACTATTCTTTTCACTTTTCTCGATGTTCTACAACCTTCGAAAATTTCAGTGGGGGAATTTTTGACCTGTATTTTTTCGATTTCTTTTTATTTTCTCGAAAACTACCCTACCAAATAATCTGGTAGATTGAGGGAATAATCAAGAAAACATGTTATGGGAATTATCCATGCATATAATCTGCTACGACCTAATTTTTGTAGAAAAAGAGTTATGGCCATAGAAAAACGTCCAAATTTTGACCGTGTTTTGAAAAATTCTTCCTTTTCTCTAAATGTACTTTGCCAAATCATAGACTATAGATTCAATCGCAAAAAAAAGTGTTAGAGACCCTCATTTCACAAACGGCTATGACCAATTTTTCGAAGAAAAAGAAGTTATGGCCATAGAAATATACCAACTCAGAAACTTTTCTCAAAAATTACCCTGCCAAATCTGACGTTGAAAAAACAGCTTTTGTGCACCTCCTGGGCAGAAAAGTTGTCGCCTTAATTTTTCGATGAAAGTTATCGCCTTAAAAAACGTACATAAACGTTGCCCGTTTACCTTTCGCATCAATACATTTTTAAAACATTATCGAAGAGGTACCTCCAGCTTTAGTTGTGCCGCTAGTGTTCAGCCTTTCTGAAGTGGCAGTGGTGCAGATGCTAGGATCTGTGACGTTAAATCTCAAGGTCGGGCGTTCGATTCCGGCACATATCAGAATTTTAGTTTAACCTTTTTTTTCATCACTTTTTGACCCTTTTAGAGCTAGTTTTTGCCCTTTTCAGGATTGTGCTTGCGAAGTGCAGCTTCGCCTCTGTGTAATTTAAAAGAACCACCCGCAAGATTCAGACCGTTCAACTGACCGAAAGCAAGTGAGAATCCCAGAATGGCACATATGTCATCCAGACTGGCGGCCGCTATGATGAGAGAGGGAATGCCCTGTTCTACTCCAAGCCCTCTCTCCTGAAGTGCAATTAGTGAAGGAACTACTACGGCAGGAGAAACAGCTGCCAAGATGAAGCCCAGGATGAAACCCCATATCAAAGGGAAGTCTAGACAAAAAAAAACATCAAAATTCATCAAACATTAATTAAAAGTTCAAGTTTTAATTGATTCGATGCCGAATCGCTATTATATTTTGTCTTCATCATAATTGGTTATGGACATGATCAAAGTAAGAAACTCCGTTTAGTCAAAGTTAAATACACTACTTACATTGATGCTAGATTGTATGATAATTAAATCAAAGAAACAAGAACCTAGAATGAAGTATGATATCACAGCCACCACAGAAGCTTCAACCGTACATCCAGGCACGAAAGTCAGAAGAAACACAGTCTTCTTCAGTCGAAATATGGACTTGAGATCGAGACTCATTCCGGCTCTGATCAGGATGATTGCGAAGGCGCTGTTGCGCAGACTACTCGAGATGCCGCTGCTGTTGTCGATTGCGGGAATTGGCAATTGTCGAACAGCTATGCCTAAATAAGAGCCAAGGAATCAGTTAAAACTTCTATTTTCAAATGTCCGATAATGATGTGCTAAGCCTCAGATAAACGTATGTGCCATAACTTGAGTAATATGAAAGAAAGAAGGCGAAGCGGAACACTAAGAAATCAAACATATATGGAGGTAGACTTCAAAAAAGCACAAATAATCAACTAGTTGAAAATAGAATTGGAAAATATAAATTAGACTCGAACGAAGACACTGCAACAACTCAGTCAATCCTTTCTAGATCGCAAAAAAATAATCAAAAGTAACAAAAACTGACTAAAAATGTAGAAATAGCTACTAAAAAAATGTAGAAATAGCTACTAAAATGAAAAGAAAAGAAAACTCAGCTCAATTTATTTAGACTCCAATGATCAAGATAATAAATGAGTGAACTTCAGATAAACATAATAAAACGGCAGTTGATATGCAACCAGAAATTTATTGAAAATCGTTTGTTTTTAGAGAACTCTTTTAAAAATTCCAAATAAGTACACAAAAAGATTACTCTCTCACTTTCAGGCATCACCACAGCATCTGAAATTGAGTTCGAAGCCAGAAAAGCGCATGTTATCTATGTATAAAAATGAAAATCACTTTTATAGATCACTTGTATAAATATCGATCACTTTTATAGTTTTCTGGAACGCAACTTAGAAACGATGGTAAATTCAAAAACAATGTTCGTTGGGGATTCTAATATTGATACACTGGTTGAAAATAGTTGCTCAAAAGGGTTGAAAAATTTAAGTAAAAGTTACAATTTTGTTATAAATAACGCCAACGAAGCAACGCGCGTTACTAACCGTAGTAGTACTTGCATTGATCATATAATTTCAAATTTTCCTGTTGCAACTCATAATGTAATTTCTGGTATTAGTGATCACAATATTATCTTCGCCGATATTAACGTGGTGTCAAACATAGATGATAACTTGACTTTTCGTAATCTGTCTTTTCTAAAAAAATCAACCGAAAAAATATTGTTTTTAGCAGATGTGAACTACCTGTTAAAAAATGTACCGGAAGGAACATGTGATGAAAAAGTTGAGTTTCTGATTAAAACAATTATCGATTGCCTAGATGTATTCGCTCCATTAAAAGTATATGGTAAAAAACGAAAAGTGAAATCACAATGGATAACTCCAGAAATTAGAAAACTAATTTTTAAACGAGATAGACTTCTTCGCCAACTACAGGCCTGCTGGTCGACTGAAACGCATGTCAATTATAAAATCATTCGCAATAAAGTAAACGCCTTGCTGCGATTAGAGAAACGGAACTTTTATACTAAAAAAGTGGAAAAGGTGACTAACAGTAAAGATTTATTTAAAATTTTTAAAAATGTAGGAATAGGAAAGACCGGGAATAACACAACGACACATATTGATGCGAATAAATTGAATACTTTTTTCTGTAACATTGGGTCGAAAATTGCATCGCAAATACCTTAATCATCAGTACCGATATGTAGATCGCCAAAACAAGTGCAATCAATGGTAATGTTTGAAACTAACCACAGAGAAGTTCTAGATGTTATCAATAGCCTTAAAAGTAAGTTCTAATGTGGACCTGATGATATTTGCAATGAAATCATCAGGCAGTTAGGAGTGGTAATTGCACCACTAATATCCGATTTTTTTAACGAATGCATTCACCTTGATGTTTTCCCAGACTTACTGAAAATTGCCAAAGTGGTCCCTATGTTCAAAGATGGAGATAAAACAGATCCTGGTAATTACAGACCAATTTCGCTGTTGTCTTGCCTGAGCAAAGTCGTTGAGAAACTTATACATTCGAGGTTCATAAATTTTTTTGAGAAATTTTCTATTTTAAACATGAACCAATATGGTTTTCGATCTAAGCGATCTACGATTCAGGCTGTTGCGAGGCTGACCGAATTTGTAAGAGATGCTACTAATAAAAGAGCGGATGCAATTGCTTTGTTTTTGGATCTCAAGAAAGCTTTTGACACGATTGATCACAAAATTCTGATGCAAAAATTGGATCATTATGGAATCAGGGGTAAACGTAACAATTTGATTAGAGCCTACTTGACTAATAGAAAGCAGTATGTTGAAATTGGAAATAATAGATCAACGCTTGAAAATGTTTCAACGGGAGTTCCACAAGGATCTGTTCTAGGTCCGCTTCTGTTTTTGATTTACATAAATGATTTACCTGATAGCACTAGTTTAGATACTACACTTTTTGCAGATGATACATCCATTATGACTTCTGGTAAGAATTCTGGAAAGAAATTAAGAACCGAATTTGACATAGTTTACAATTACTTATGTTGCAATAAACTTTCACTGAATACTGATAAAACTGTTCTGCTAAATTTTAGCAATAAAAATGGAGAAATTGGTCTTGATATAAAAGGTGAATGCATAAAAATGGTTGATTGCACGAAGTATTTGGGTATCTACATTGATTCAAAGTTAGACTTCAAGATGCATATTGAACATGTTATTAAGAAATTGTCTAAACTGTGTGGAGTAATAGATCGTTCCAGAAAATTATTTAATATTCCAATGCTTCTACTGATATACAGATCCTACATCAAACCTGTTCTTCAATATGGCGTATTGGTTTATGGCTAGGCAAGCTTAACAGATCTAAATAAAATTTTAGTAATACAGAAGAGAATAATACGTGCTATTTTTAGAATTGATTATAGAGAGAGCACAGTTGAAAAGTACAGACTGCATAAAATTGAAACGGTGTTTGATCTTCACGTTTACGAACTGTTTAAAGATATTTGCTACAATAATGTTTGTGATAGTACCACGACTAATAACGTGGCGTACTTCACTAGGAGAGTTGCTTCTGGAAAAGTTAATAGTAAAATACAAAGAACGAAATGTTTTCAAAATTCCATAAATGTTAGAAGAACCATTATTCATAATTATATAACTGCATCTGGTTTATTGAATGAAGATGTGACAAGTTTGCAGAGACATCAACTCAAGATTTTTATACACGATGTTTTTGATAATTATCTGCTTGATAATAAGGAAGTTCATAAACAGCTGTATTGTCATTGATATTTGAGTTTAAGGTTGTCTACTAGATAAGCCGTAGGCTTTTTAGACAATCCTTGTTGATGATTGTAAATATACATATTGTATTGTAATAATCATCAACTGAATTAAATATTATTATTAAAATTGAAAAGAAAATATTACACCAACTGAAAAAACAAACGACAAAACTTCAGCCAACAGTAGAGATTTCATAATAATCCAAAAATTGCGAACTCAGCGTGGAACAAAAAAAAACATTATTGAAAAAATTTTTCACACAGAGACGAAGCAGAGTTCTGCATCACTTGCGATACAACGCAAGCGCAGCTTTGCAAGCTTGCGAATTAAAAAAAAGACAACATTTTTGGAAAATATTTTTTTTTGGAAAAACTGAAATTTTCAATTTCAAAAAACAGCCAAAAAACACAACCACCAGCATAACATAGGCTTTTAGTACTTACCGAGTGGCCACTAAGTCAGCAACACGAATATAGACGCCCATCGAGCATATACAAAAACAAAACCATAAGAAAACAGTTGTCATAAAAATTTTGAGAGGTTAAATTTTGAAACTTTTACACAACAAACAACCTGAAATATATTTGAAAACAATTTACTCAGAAAAAGTATATCAATTAACAGCCTTTAAAATTTTCGAATATTTATAGAACGGCAAGTAAGGCGACAAAACTTGGGTTGAGTCCCGTCAAGCCTAAAACAAAAGTTGTCATAAACAGTTGAGAAAGTGAACCTATCCCACCTGAAACACAAAGAACAAAGAAAATAACTTTCGCTCCAAATTACTCAAAATGAGGTGAACAGACTGACATAAAAGCATCAGCCGAAACCGTTTTACCGGAAAAAAAACCGACAGAAAAATTTTTTTCAGTCAGAGTTGATAAATTTACAAATTACAAAGAAATTTTCAATTATAGTAAAAACTGTACAAAAACTATTGGTAAAAAACAGCTAAAATAGCCGAAAAAAAACCATAACAGACAAAATCAATGCATTTGCGGGAAAAAAACGAAATTAGGCCGTCGAAAATTAAGACGAAAAACAAGAATAATAAAAACATTATGTTTTTCTATAATTTTTACGTATAATACTGTTATCCACCTAAAATCGGCTCGATAATTCTATTAGAGTTTTCAAAAATTGAGCATGTCAGTAGCCAGCGAGTGAAGGTAACTGCATGTATTTCGTACAGATTTGTATAAGTTGTTTACGGGGGAAAAGCTCCCAATTATCAAACAATGCTCTCGTAAATTTAACAAAAAAGACAGAAGAATACATTGAAAGCAACCATTATTTTTTTTCACAAAAAAATTGGAATAGGACAAAAGCCTCTCATAGTTTTCTACACAGAAGCCACGTGGAAACTCATACTTTTTCAAACCTCATAAATTCTCACTTTATAGCAAAGGAAATAAAGTGAATTAAAAGCCAAATCGCGAAAAATCAAAATTGAGCGTGAACGAACTTAAAGATTTTTTCCTGTAAAAAAAACATAAAACACCAACAACTTTACAAGAGTTATCACTACGTTCATTACTCTTGATAGTTTGATTTTATTTTCGATGTTTGTCATAATTTGCTTGAAATTAAGTTCAATTTGATAAAATGTGCCCAAGATCTATGCCAGTTTTGAGTAAGCTTAGAATCAAAAACAAAGCCAATCGAAGATTGGAAAAGAGTAACGAACGCAAGTAAACATAAAAACACTAACTTTGTTGAAAAAACCTCAACTTTCGAACTGCAAAGAAAAAAAAAGCCCTTTAAGCTCTTTGCAGAGCGAAATATGATTGCCACTTTTTTGAAAACATTAACCCAACTTGTGAAAACTGAATTAACAGGTAAAGTTTTCATTCCGCTGGAAATCTAAGAACTAAATTCAACTTTCGAAACTTGAAATCGTTCACGTTTTTTCGCGCCATTTCCACTTTCGAATTTAGAGAGTGCTATTTACGTCACATTCAACTGATGAATTTCAATTGAAATCAAAAAGTGCATATATACCTAAGTGCATTCATAAAATGCATCGATATCTATGAATGCACATCTGTAGTTATTAGAGATTTTTATGTACATTTTAAGACTTCTTCCTGGAAAAACTACGTTCATTACTCTTAAACACGAAGCTTTAACTTAGCCAACACTGATTGAGCAGATGCCCGTTGATCCGATAAAATTATTGATAAGAAAATTGAACTATAAATTATTTTGAAACTTTGTCCCCTCTCTGGAGCAATACCACGCCTATAACACCTTTCAACCTTCAAAGGGCAAAAGTTTAGAATAAGCCATCAGAAATTAATGATACCTTGCAAGCCAACTGAACCTCTCAAGCAAAAAAAACTAAAAAAAAACTCAAACTTTACAAAGAAAGCTTGTAAAATGACAGCCAACATTAAACAGCCAACATTTAAAAAAATCGAACTAAACGGGTATCTGAAATGCAAGCAAGCTCAAAAAGATTTCCAAAGGAGGAAAGGCATGCTGAGATTCTGAGATGAGTCCTGTTAGCAGAGTTTTTAACGGGAAAAAGTTCGATACCGCAAAGTCAAACGCTTAAAAATGGGGAAAAATCAACTCTCCCATCAAAATAAAGAGGAAAACATATAAATATTTATTGGAAACGCAACGAATGAAAAAGCCAGAATTATATATGAACTGAATTAAGACATTTTGATTTGCCTTAAAAAAATTCCATTCGAATATCATTCACAATTATTATTTCAATCGATTGAGCTTTCGAAAAAAAAGTGTTGAGATATCAACTGACGAAAGGCTATCGAACAGTAAGAAACCTGTGTTAGTTATCAGAAAAACAACGTATACTTGCAAGACTTGAATATTGTCAAAACATTAGCTGAACCCATTATTGAAACGTAAACGGTAATGAATTTTATTCAAAAGGAGGCCTAACCCGGAGGTTGATTACTTGGGTTGAAATGAGCGCATAAATTCAGCGCCCTTTAAGCTAGCTATGACTTATTTGCATGAGCTCGCCTTACGAATCGGAACGCATTGGCGATTTGAACCAGCAATCATATAATTGCGGGTCACCATAACTACCGGAGCGCCACAATGCCACATTGTGTTCTAAGCCAGTAGTTTTAATTGAAACTAAATTTCTACGCATAGGTATCCAACCAAAAACCATATATCTATACCGATTGTAAATTATATCTAGTTTGAGCATAATTTTATCTACAATAGGGCCAAAAAAGTTTAGACAGGATCCTTTTAAGCTAAAATCTAATAAAATAGCCAACTGACAGAGTTGGAAAAGAGTAATGGACGCAATGAAACTGAAACAAAAACTGACTTGTTTTTTCAAAAATCTTCAATTTTTGAATTTCGAAGCCAAATAGATGGCCTTAAAACTCTTTGAATTTGTAGAACTATTTATGATGGACGCTTTTTTGTTAAAATTAACCCAATTTGAGAAAATTGGATTAATAGGCTAAACTTTTATTTCACTGGGATATCTGATAATTAATTTCCATTTTCGAAATTAGAAGTCGATCACGTTTTTCGTGACCTTTACATTTTTGCTGTTCGATAGTGGATTTTGCTTTTCTTTTAACAATGAAAATCCACTGAGGGAAAAACAAATGAAAAATCAAACCGCAAAAAATCAAAATTGAGCGTGAACAACCTGAAAAAGAAACAAACAAAAAATCAGCAAGACCTATATATGAGAGTCCTCACTACGTTCATTACTCTGAAAACATTGGAAAAAAAATGGCAAACAAATATTGATAGAAAAAATTGATAATACAGCTAAGGTATACTGATAAGGTCATTAGAAGACAGCATTTTTCATTTAAGGTTGGCTACTATAGCTTTCGGTTCATGATATAAACCGCAAGCTTTTAAAATATGTTTCATGTTTTTCAGTCAAGTCAATGCTTGAAAGGAATTCGACCACTTGACCATCCAAGCTTTCTCTACTTTGGCTAAAAAACCTTGAAAATTTTCTACGGTACCCTCAACGATTTTTTTTGGTCTAAACTAGAGCTAAGAAAATCAATTAAGTCGATTTTTAAAAAAGTAGGCGAAATTTTGTCAATTTAATGAAGCCATTCCATATTTGTTCTGCCTGTTTGCCAGTATGCACCACACCGAGCTCTGCAAACATTGAACACATAACTTTGGAGAAAGCATAAACTTGAAAAAAGTCGCACACTAAACTGTTCAAATATAAAACACAAACAGCAGATTCCCAAAAAAAGCATTTTCCAACAAAAAAAAACAGTCAAAACCTTCCAAAAAAAAATTTTTTTTTCAGGATTTGCCTGCTGCAACGTGGAAAATTTGGTAAAACTATTGTATTTATCTAGATCGGAGAGAATTAAATTTGGTCGACCTAAAAAAAGCAATACTGCAGGAGATAAAAGTATGACTTTTTCTGGTATTGCCGAATTCTATCTGAAACCATCAAATGCATCGTTAATTAAATTATCTGAAACCACCAATTAATTAAATGATTCATATTCTACTGTGTCGCTGCAAGGAAAATTTTGTCACTCGACACGCACGTCTACTTTTCTCACTAGTCAAGCATTTCAAGAAAAATCTTGCAGTCTGAAATCACAACTTAAAGCTTCTCTAACGAAAGCCTACATTAGGGTGAAGCGATATATGTTCAAGAGGGTTCAGCGAAGCAGTAGCAAAGCTTACAGCATTACAATTTTCAATTGAAGGCCTACTATAGTAACTGCCCGTGATCTAGCAGCAATGAACATTTTCATCAGCAATTTACCTGCAATCAGCATTCCCACCAATCCTGGCATCTTCAGTAAAATGGCAAGTTTGGATAAAATAACTGCAGCCAGATAAATCAAGAATATAGTGAACAGGTATCCGGCATCTTTGTATGGCAGCATCATGTCCCCAGTAAGAGACCATAGAACACAAAAAGTGGCCACAGAAAGAAGTAGAAATGACCATAGATTCCATAGTGGTTCTTTCAGGCACAATTCGGACTGTAAAAATTCACCTCTATGAATACTTGTTTCAGAATTGTTGTCAATCGGAGGTTCTGAAGAATGAGGCTTTTGAAGCTCCATTTCGTTGTCATCTGATGACGTCATAATACCTCGGAAAAAGTTCGTATGTTCTTTTTACACTTGGTTTTGAGGTTAGTAGTTAGGTTCTTCGCGTAATATAGTCATCTCAAAAAATTGGTCAGCAAGTCTAAGATGTTCTACAGGATCCGCTATTACGCAGATTTAAGTCAGCTAGAGAAATGCATGCCTATTCTTACTTCTATATTCAGAATCTGACGGCTCTCTAACTGCTTTTTGCTCCTGAGGACCAAAAACTATTTTAAAACTTTTATTTCCCAATTTCATACTAAAAGCTAATGAGGCACGCACATCACTATTGAAAACAATTTAAATTCCAAATAATGCACTATAAATTATATATTACACAAAGACAAAGCCGAACTTTGCAACACTTGCGAAAAAAACATTACTTCACAAGACAGTGAATGATACACGGAGGCAGAGGCGGATGTACGATTTTCTCGAGACGGGAGGGGGGGGGGGGGGGGTTTGATTTTCAAAAAATTTTGTCGCCTTTTTTTTTTAATTTTTCGAGCTCTCCCTAAGCACGGTTTAGTCCGTTTTGGCCAAATTTTCTGCGCCGCAAGCAAAATTTTGAAAAAACAGTCCAAAAAAGCGTTTTTAGGCACTTTTTGGAAAATTTTGACCAAAAAAATCGCGTTTTTTCGGCGCGCACTCCCCTCTCAAAATTGGTATATATTGGCGCCCAAGGCGCCTTTAAAAAATTTAAGGGTTGGTAGGAAAAAAATGGATTTCTTAAAAAGTACCAAAGGAGGTCGAATCCCCGAAGGAGAGGGGGGGGGGTTCGGCGTGCGTCCGCTCCCCCCTAAATCCGCCCCTACACAGAGGCGAAGCTGCACTTCGCTAACAGGAGCGAGATAGCGGTAAAAACTCAGGAGCCTTAAAATGCACAAGAGCTCAAATTTTGCATGTTATAATTTGGAATGTAAGATAAAAGGCAACCATACTAACTTGGCAAGTATAATTTAGAATGTATTAAGCAAATTGCGAATAAGTTAGGCATTTCAAAAATCTCGCGAAGTATATCGGCTTGAAAAAAAATTCTGAAATGGTACTTATTATTATACTTTTGTATGAAACAAATATCTTTTTTCGGTTCTTTTGATGAATTAAAAAACATCAACTGTGTTAACTTATTACTAATCAAAGAACATGTAAATCAGGGGCGGATTTAGGGGGGGCGGACAATATTTACTAATTTTGGGGGGGGGGGGGAGTGCGCGCCGAAAAAACGCAATTTTTTGGTCAAAATTTTCCAAAAAGTGCCTAAAAACGCCTTTTTTGACTGTTTTTTTTTTCAAAAATTTGCCTGCGGCGCAGAAAATTTAGCCAAAATAGGGGCAAAACAGTGCTTTGGGAGAAATCAAAAAATCAATGTAGTCGACCTAAAAAAAAAAGGTCGTCAAAATTTTTGATTTCTTTTTGAAAATCCGCCCCCCCCCCCCCTCGAGAAAATCCTAGATCCGCCCCTGATGTAAATTCACTGCTAATGCAGCCTGCTGAATCCAAAGTACTGCCAAAAATAGTTCTATTTGCGACTTAGGTTGGAAAAAAGAATTTCATCGTACTATCACATCAGACCACGCTACGCTTCTGCAAAAAAGACAAAAGTACAAAAACCAAAATCAACAGATACTTCATTCGTTTGTCTCAGATGATATTCATAAGTAGCCTTTCAAAGCATAGGGAATCGTTTATCGAGTGGCGACTGAGCCAAAAACCTTAGGTCGACCCTCAATAAGTCGACGCCCGTCTAATCGAAAAGAAAGAAAAAAAAATGAGGGTAGGATGTTAATTTGGTTCTGAGTTCAATTTTTAGCCAAACAGAAAAGAGAATTTAACACGCAGCGCGCAGGATCTTAATTTAGTCTGTGAGGGGGGACGTCAACTTGATCCCCGTATTTCATACAGATTTGTAAAGGATGCTTGACCAAATCTATTTCCGATAACAAATTCACATGCTCTCCCAAGTGAAAAAAGTTCCTAGCGAGAACACTAGCGAAAACACGACAAAAAGCAGCTCTATAAAAGGCAAAAGTATAAATATGCCTCGAATATGCACCTACGACCTATTGCGACCAAGAAAATCAGTCTAACGCACTAAACACACAGGCATGGACGCCTTATTACGAACATACTCTAGCCACAAATAAAGCAGAAAACAGATGCTACGCAATTTCCAATGGTAGTGAAATTTCCATATAAGTGAACACTTTTAAAGAACACTTTTATTTGCGAGTTAGCTTAGAAAAAAAGAAGGCTCGCGCTAATACACTAACGCTTGCAAGCTCGCTAGTGTGAATATGCATGGAGCTATTCCGTAATCATTCATAACACAACACCATGTCACAAAAGATAGAGTTTAGCTAATCTACACATCAGAAAAGGATAATGAGTACCTAACTACTCAATTGAAAACTACTTAGTGCACTATACCTAGCTCAATTGCACAAACTTAATTTACAATAAATAGTAATCTAATGAAAAACAGCAAAAGTAAACTAAATGAGTCCGCTATATTATGATCATTTATTCGTTTCAAAAGATAAGAACAAGTTCAATAAACTTGCTGAACACGTGATACTGTGCACTGCTTAGCTTGCATTCTTTGATCACGTAGTTTTTATTATCAGAATCTTCTGGTCCATTCTTATCGCCATCCGGTTTGTTAACTTGAAGGTCGAATAGGACGTTCCAGACACATTTAGCTACCTCGTATACTTTGGAGCTAAGGATGACCTCGTTTTGATGCAAATTTGAACACTTTTCCGCCTAAAAATCAAACAAAAATAGTATATAGAAGGTATATGACGATAACAGTTTTCTAGCAAGGATATCTGATAAAATAATCAGAATTGCGATAGATCAGAACACTATTGCGATTGAGCTTTATGATGATTTTTAGTCGAAATGATTTAAGTATAATCATAAACTGAAACAAACCACATCGCTAAAAATTGATTTCGTCATGTCAAAATATTCCTTCTTCAAGTCAGAAACGTCTATCAGAACGCACACAGGCAACTCTGAAACAAATTGTGGTTAAGTTTATTTTTGACTACAGCAAATAAACAGGCTATGCGACCCTAAAACTTCTCCGAGAGTTTGCATTACCTTGAGCATACTGGAACAAAAAGTAGACGTAGTACAGGATATTCACCGAGTAGTTCCCGTCCTGAAAAACAAAACTCCGCTTCATGGCAACTCATCATAACTGTTCTGACCAAGACATAAGGACGCCTAATGTCCTGATTGAAATGATTGCTACGCTACGACTTTCGGAGAGGTAACAAGATTGCTTTTTTCGCATAATATTTAACAAGGTTACTTTTTCGGATAACATCGATGAACGAAATAATTTTTCGAAGAGTATTAAGCCACATAAACACTATCACTTAGCTGATTGCAATTTCAAAATTGTTTTAAACCACAAAGTTTTTTGTACTAGAAGAGCAACGACGAAGAGGCTAGTACCTGCTTCTCAATCGAAACCTCCCAGCCCAAAACATTATCTAAAAACTCCATCTAAATCTTAAGCTCCTCAGCTTATTCTTACCAGCAAACTGCAGAAAACTCAACACATCAAAGAAAACCCTGTGTGCTACCGAAATTCCCTCAATCAATTTCTCAAAAATTAGTTTTTTTTTTATAAAAAAACACTAAAGAGAATTTTCTAGATTCGCAACTAGTTTTAAATATTTTATACATTATTAGCATTTAATAAGAAATCAATGGTAACAATTAACTTGCCTCGAGGACCAGTTTTAAACAGACCTATCTTTTAGCATAAAAAGTGAGTTTTTTAGCATTCCGGCCACAGTAACAAACTTAAGAAAAAAACCTCTGTTTTTTCAAATTGTGTCGTTTTTGTCTGTACAGTAACGAAAGCCTAGAACTTGGGGACGTTCGATACTTATAGTAACTTAGACATACTCAACAAAAATGTCTTCAAAAAAGAAAAACAATAAAAGTGAAACAAAAAAAAAACATTTTTGTCCAAAAAAATTTCCTAGTTTTTTTATCAAGAAGGCGCTAAACAATCTTAGACGGCGCTGGAGTAAAAATACGCATTCATGGCGTAAACAAAAAAAATTTCGGTTTATCCTATTAAAATACGCCTGCTGGCTCGCTCGAAGTAAAAACATTGAAAAAAAATCTTTTCCTGATAGTGAAAGAAGCATGCATAGCTAGGGTAGGCGTTTGTGGGCCATATGGCCCCGTTGTCTATCCTCTCCGAGTCGCATTTTAATAATTACTCATAACGATGAATTGCCAAATTTATGTAATGAATGACCGAAGAAATTTATTCTTTCTTTCTTTCTTAAAGAGCAAAAATTTCAAACCGGTTTTTCTCAATAGTGAAATGTCGTTTGCATTTTTTTGATGTCGCTATAATTACAACTGAAAGTTTCGAACCATGACATTGAAGTTTGTCCATGGGTGTATCACAGACTGAAGGATCTTTCTTTTTTCATTTTGTTCAAAAATATCTCTGTAAACTCTTCCGCCCGCTTTATAATATTCGCTAGTGATATGCTAAGAAACTTAATCACCCCTTGTTGCAATGACGAAATTGGCCTTCATATAAACACGCAATAGATGAATTAAAAAGCACTAGGCAACACATGACAGACATCCATGTAGGATGCTGTGAGAAAAGAGGAGTCAGCCTTATCTTTTTTACTTATGTTTCCAGACTGGTTTTTAAATTTGTCTGTTGATATGTTCTGACTTCTGTATGATACACCAAGTAATGATACATGAAAGCTGTTGCACGTACCCTGAGGATGAAATCCATGAGAGCGAGCAGTTGTGCATTATCACAATCAAAACCCCGAATTGATATCGCAGGGTTCAGTTGGTCAAAGTTATCCACCATCTAAACGAAAATCAAACATCCGACAAGAATAAAAAAAAAAAACATCTAAGTAATCAACAATAATCCGTCTCCAGATGACTGTTTTTCAGATCATATGCTCATTACGCTACTTACATTAGAATATATAGCACAGCATGAAGCTGAACATGTAAAAACTACCACTTGTTTTCTAAAAAGTGACCAACAAGAAGTTTGAAATAATATGGATTGTGAGGCGACAACAAACAAGGCGCCAAACAGCTTTCACCAAACAACCTTTTTCTGAAAGCATGATAAACATTTCAGGAATTTAAAAATTAACATCAAATCTCTGCATTTTTACTTCATGGGTCATCTGAAACGCAAGAAAAAGAAATAAAGAACACGTGTACGCTTAAAACAATTACTACTGCTTTTATGATACATTCAAGATTTGAAGCCGACTAATAGTTTCAAGGAGTCTTCTTTAACGATTTTTGTAATATTTTTGAGACATACATACATAAATCGTTGATGCAGATTTCATTAAAATATATAATGGTAACTATGGAGGTGTAGCCGCTTCACTGAGCAGCTCTATTATTTGATGTTTGTTTATGAATCTGTTGATCGACTCACTTCGAATACGAATGATCTGAGCTCCTGTTCAATCGAGTTCTTAAATGCTGCCCTGATCAAGCAAGACAGCTGCTTCTGCTTCCTCTCCTCTAACTTGGACATGCTCTCTGCCAGGTCTTGAACGGTCTCATCTAGAACATCAAATCAAGTTTATTCATTTTCCCGAGCCCGATATTGAGGCAATCTCCGAGTAAATTTTAGCGCCATAGGAAAACGCACGTAGCTCAAGCATAACTTTCACTCAAATAGAATAATAATTTAATAATTGCTTGAAAATTTTAATCAGAAGAGCAACATGATTGATTTGTTATTATCTTATTGAAAATTGTAATTATCATAGAACTCAATGAATACTTTGCTCCAAAGATAACTCCCAATATCAATCTTTTTGTACAAAATTGTTTCTTCCCAATTCATTCAAAATTGCAAAAAATCGTCCCTATTCACAAAACTGGTAATTTTACGGACGGGTCAAATTGAAATCCGATTTCTATATTTCCCGTTGTTAGTAATAATTTCGATAAATCCTGCATAAATGTCTAACTTGCTTCTTGAAAACCACAAAATTTTAACAAAAAGAGACAATTTGGTTTTTGCAGTAAAAGCAGCCCCATAGATGCAATTATAGAATTAGTTGAATATGCAGACTCAAAAATGAATCAAATTGATCTCATTGAAAGCAATTTGGTTGATCTTTCTAAAGCATTTAAACCTGTTGATTATTCTATTTTGTTAACGTGTGAACTATATGGACTCAGAGAAAATGTAATAAAAATTTGGGAGTCTCTTAAAAATTTATCTTTCGCGCAGGCTACAATTTTTGTACTTAAATGACGACGTTTCTGGCTCTGGATCAGGAAATTGAGGAAGTCTTCAAAACTCTGTACTAGGTCCACAGCTATTTGTGATTTATATCAATGACTTACCGGATCGGCTGTATCAACACAAAACAATTATGTTGCACACGACTGCGATATCATCAATTCAATTGATTCATTGCAAGGATATAAACCAGATCCCTACCGTGGTTTGGAAGTTTGGCTCCAAGAAAATGAATCGCAGCCTTATTAAAACAAGTATTTCAAATGTTTTTTTTTTCTAAGAGAAGAGCCAAGATGAAAGTATAATAGTAAAAAACCGAATAATTCTGAACTGGATCAGACAAAAACGCTTGACTTCACGAAACCTGTATATAATCTCAGGAACAGCAAAAAGTTCAAAAGAGAACAACAAAAAGCTTATCCAAGATTTACAGACTTAGATTATATTTTAAGCAGAAGCAACTATTGCAGATATAATAAAGTTATATAACAAAATTTTATCAACTTGGTGCTTTAATACTTGGAACAAACGAAACAGTTTTATCACAAATAAAAACACAGAGGCGAAGCTGCGCTTCGCAAACACTTGCGAGAACACGGCCACAAAGCAGCTCTATCAAGTGAAATAAGAAAAATTAGAAATATGCCTCGACTTAGTAAAAAAAAGTCGGCTACGTGTAGGATTCGAATCTGTGACCTACTGCAATCAAGAGATTTTGAGACTCACGCATTATCCAATCAGCTACGCAAGCTTAACAATCGGCAAACACTAGTCACGAATAAAGCAGCTACATATGCTGATAACTTGCCAATGCAATTCAGCAAAAGTGGCATCAAAAAAAATTGACTCAATTTTGCATGTAATAATTTGGAATATAACAAACTGAAGGCATCCACACTAACTTGTATGTAACAAATCGCAAAGCACATATCCACATTATGTAAAAAGTATGCATTTCAAAAAAATGTGAGATATATTAAGTTAGAAAATTTCTGAAATCGAGTTTTCTTTATTGTTATGTTGTTTGGAACAAATCACTTTTCTCGGTTCATTAGATGAATTTAAAATGTATCAACTGTGTTAACTTATTACTATTCGAACGTCAAAGCACATGCTATAACAAAGCAGTAAAGGTGCCCAACCATAAAATTTCCGCATCAATATTTGCGGCTTAGGTTTGAAAAAAAGGTTCATACCAAAACACTCGCTTCGCAAGTGTAAATAACAGAAGCTGATTTGGAAAACTTGCTTCAACTAAACTAATAAGAGAGTATTCGATATATTAGACATGAAAACAAAGTATGCTATGCAAGCGAGCATCATGTATGTGAATTACTAAAGCTCATGACAAGAACAAACATTACGTCGTTTATCAAAATTGTTTTTTAGTTTGAGTAGACTAAACAGAAAAAACGTCCAAAAATAGGAAAACAAGCAGCAGCTTATTTCAAAAACAACTCGAAACTAAGGCTCGATACTTAATTAACTAATTTGTTTAACTGGACAGAAGTTCAAAACAGTTGGCCAAAGTTGACGATAAAGGTCTTTATAATTATCTTCATGAAATTAAGGATCTCTAAATTTGTGATAAGGCTCAACTACTAAGAATTTTCTTGTAAATGACAAAAAGAACCAAAAAACAAGGTTGATACATAGGATGTTTATGTTTGCTCAATGAGGCTCCACTCGACAGGCATCCCTTTCCATTGAAGAGCTCTCACGTGGCAGTGAATTGAAATGGTATTACATATGGAATTTTGTGCAAATGGCAAATGGAATTTTGTGCTCTTACATGAAAAAGAAATAATGTAAGACTTTTGGATCACGTCAAATGGGCCTTCCGAGTTTTTGTTCCGACCATTGAAGTTTTTTTTAAATTATTTTCCACGCAAAATCAGGTAGCAAAAATAATCATCGGAATGAGTCGAGTGATACACCAAAGTAAAGCTCTTTCAGTCGTCATTTGATTGAAAACTTTTTAAAAAGTTGTGCCAGTCTCAAGAAAAACTGGTTTTAAATATTTTGTCTTTTTTAGTTGTGCAGTTTTGCAGTCGAGCGAGTAACGGTCGTTATAAAGAAATTCAGTTATTTTTAGATTTCAATTTTACTCAAAATGAAACTAATTTCGGATGAACAATTTAGTGCTTGCTCGGCAATAAAAATTTTCTTGTGCAAAAAAAATAGAACTAAATTTGAAATTTTTGTTTTTCAAATTTTCCTATTTTTTGTCTATCATGCTTTTTGTGAAGACAATAGTCGTCGATTATGTCTCTTTCACAAAGTTTTTACGCGTTTGTATAGTTCTCAAATCACAGCAACCGGCTATCTTTGTTAACTCTCAGATCATGTCGAAAACGAAATACAACTTCGCAGATTGGCATTTTGAACTAATTAAGTTCATCGATTTAGGATTGATAGATACAATATGTGACAAATACATGAATACAAATTCAGCTATGCCCTGCCTGTCAATTACGTAGATACACGTAGGCACACAGGTACGTACGATCAAGTGGATAAGTAGTTTCAACAGTACCTTCTAATTGCGACGTTTGAGGCACCATGACATAGGTGGAGTCCGTGTCAGCAGAGGAAAATTCGGCGCTACCCCGAATCCATTCTTCAGTCTATAAACATTTCTAACATCAAAAAACTACTAACATAGTACTTCAATTCTTCCTTGAGTTTATTTACAATTCACAGCATCTATGTAATGCGTAAATTTGAACTATTTAACGTTACCTCATTTAACGTTACCTTCTTCCTTATTCCTCCCAAAATATCAAATATAAAATTATAAAAAAATGAGGAGAAAGCGGCAATCTGATTGATTGAAATTTAGTACGCAGCCAAAACAACGCTTGCAATTTGCGATGGATGCGCTGATAAATGCTTTATTGAGAGGAATAAGTAAAAAGACCTCGATTATCTGTCACAATGTTCGTTTCGTTCCTTTCTTTTTTATTTATTTCAAGTTCATCAAGTTCATGTTCATGCCGACAACTATTCATCCAAAACCCTCGTTCACTCAAAAAATATTCGACTCAACTCTCACTTACAATGATATGACTATGAAACATGAATATGATGATGCCACGTGATAATGAAAATTTAAATATGATTTCAGCAATACTGCAAATATTAACGTGCAGTAACCTTCACCTTCTGATTTGAGTGATCTCCACTACCTCCACCGCCCAGTACAAACTTGACCTCTGCCCTCTGTCCCCCTGAGGGGAAGTAGAAGGTGTTACTGGATAGATCCAGGGTACACTCCTCCACACAGTAAGCTATCACTTGCCCCGGCACCATTTTCAAACTGTTCAGGTAGTCTTTTTTCCATATGTTAGATTCATCACCTAGTAAGAAAAAAAGCCAATGTAGAGCAGTAAAAATTTTAAAGTTTGTGCTAAACTAAAAAGAAACCTTCATTCCAAGAAGCCTCTCAGATGATATCAGTTGAATGAAACTCATTACAAAAGCATGATAGATTCCCTTTCTCTATTTTGTTTTGTTGTTTTTCACATGTTGACTGGAAGTCATTCGCTCTATTGACTGGCGAGTGTTCTTAAAGCCGGGTGACAAACGATGCGCGAAACAGATAGCTCCATGCCGTGAAACAGTATATTATAAGGAATCGAGATATGATGCAATTAGTGACACGTTTTCACACATGCAATAAATTAATTTTTTAAAAGGGATTAAAAAAAATATGCATTGACTTCGATGGAATGAAGCATGCTAAATTCAATGCAAAGGCAGACCTTTTTTGTTTTACGGCCCTCAACATTTTCTTTCATTTCAAAACTTCGATCCTAATGCTCTAATCTGATTGGTTGAAATTGATTTCAGCGAACGAAAATAAAGGAATTTCATAAAACAAAGAAGCTCACACTTAACAAAATTGTTTTTTTTTGAGCCGTATAACAGAAAAGAACCGAAAATCCAATTGCTCACCTCCCTTCAGCTAAAACACAATAACAGTCAATTAATATCAAAATTTTCGGTTGATAAGAAATCATTGCCAACGTACCAGAATTTTCCCATGTACTGCATGTTTGATAATGAAAATGAAGTCCCGAAACATATTTAAAGCGAACAAACCGGTCCCTAAACATGAATCAAAAATTGGATTACAATAATTTAACCTTCTTACCAGAATATAGCCAACAGACACTTTGAAAAGAGTCATGAAATTAAAGAAACAACAAAAACTGACTGTTTTTTGAAAAAAAGTTAGGCTATCGAATCTTGAAGAAAAAATATATGGCATCAAAGTTCTTTGAATTTCAAAAACAATTTATGATTGACACTTTTTGATAAAATTGCCTCGTTTTGCGAAAATTGGATCAATAGGTAATTTTTTCATTTCGATGGAAAATCTTCAAATTAAAATTCACTTTCGAAACTAGAAGTCAATCAGGTTTTTCGAGGCCTTTAAACTTTTGCTCTTTGATAGTTCAGTTTGTCTTCCCTTTAACAACGGAAATGAACTGAACTTGAAAAGAAATCGAAGGCACAACTAAAAAAATTCAAATTTGAGTCAGACTTTTTCCTGAAAAAAAAAATCACCAAGACCAAAAAAATAATATTATTCACTATGTTCATGACTTTGAAAAAAATACCCGTATCGTTCGTATCGTTTATTGAAAAATTTAGATTCAAAATTATAATATCCAAATTTTGCATTCTCATTACGAGGCCAAACAGTGCATTTTGTGAATTGTGAGCGGATTCCGCACCAGGCCAAAATCAGATTTGTCGTGGAATCCGCAACTTTGCTACCATTCTTTGATCATGTCTGCTGTTTTAGATTCCACGGAGAAATAGCTAAAACACTGTATTGCTCAAAATCGCTTCAAAAACAGGCAACATTGCGGAATCAGCTAAAATTTTTCTGGAATCTGGAACAGTTTGTGGAATCCAGAAGCAAAAAATAATCTATGCATTTAGTAAACTTCAGAGGCCGTGGAATCCGCAACTGTAAGTAAAATCCGCAAACTGTCCGCAAAATCCGCTAGTAAGTGAAATCCGCATAAATTAGCGGAATCCACTTAAACTTGCGGAATCCGCTTAGATTTGTGGAATCCGGAACAACTACCTATATTTGCTCGTTGCCGAAAGCGCAACGAAATTAACAAGACTGCTCTCATCAGGGAGAAGCCGTGAATCATTCGACTGGCATTCATTCGACTGGTTTTGAAAAAACCCTTTGAGAAATCATTAGAAAAATTTCTGATTTAAAAAAAGGAAAGCAATTGATTAGTTTTTTTTCAAAAATCTTGGCAACTTGCTGTGCCAAAAACGAAAGGATATTCTGAGCATTTAGTAGCGCAACAATAGCGCTAAATATCCTCCTTCAATTGAATTTGGAAAATTCATGAGCGAATTAAATCATAAAAATTATAATAAATTGTTTCCAGCATAGGTTCACATTGATCGACATAAATTATATAAATGACATTTCAAAAAAACCTAGTCAATGAGAAATTGTCATTATGAAAATTCTGCCTGTTTTCAGACGTCTCTGAGCTGAAACAAGAACAAGGTTTTAATTGGGATGGTGGTGTAATAATTTTTAACTCAATAAATTTTAAAACAAGAGAAAAAAAAATTATTTAGTTAGAAAGAAGTAATAATGAACTTGTTAATTTCAATCCAAGTCATTTAGCAAATCATTTCAAAAGTCGGAAAAAGATTAGTGAGACAGTGTAGAGTTTTCGAGTTCTGGTTACAATTGATGTAATTTGAAGAGGAATGAGATTATTTAACCGAGAGTCACAGTTTCACACTCACCGCGAATAAATTTACAGAGAAATTTTTGAGTTCGTATAAATGAAGCTCCTTAACATTATATATTTCTTTTTTTTACCTCAATAAACATACTGGTTCGAACTTTTTCTTGAAAGAAAGGATTACTTAATTTGTCTATGTTGCGATCAATCTTGTCAAGGTTTGATTTGGAAGTTGACCCTATTTTTATACTACCATGTTGAACAACAGTTTTAACGTCTGTTCGGTAAAACTGGTTCACTTACTGTTTATTAAAAATCTTACGCAGTGAGAAAAGATTCCCCAAAAATTATTTAGCTTCGTATTAACATCTTCAATGTGATCTTTGATTCCAGTTTTTTTATCGAGATACAAAAACCCAGATATTTGATAACGGAGTTTTGCTCTATGTCTTCTTTCATTTTAATTGAGAAGTTTTGTGTTTTTTTTATTCCGTTTTGTGAACTTAACTGTTTTGGTTTCAGCTAAGCTCAAAGCCAGTCTGGTTTTATCTAAGTTCAAATTTGTGTTTGCGTTCAATTTTGGTATATCGTTAAAAACAGAATGAAAAAAGGAGGTCCAGGAATTGAGCCCTGTGGGACTCCGCATTTTATTTATTGACATTGCAATTTGATTCTGCTGATGCTTAAAAACTGTTTACGTTCTAATAAATATTGTTAACGTAATCATAAAAATTGTTTGAAAGAAGCTTTTGACCAACAGTATCACTGAGTTTCAATGGTTTGGTTGTTCCACAACCAGATCGAATTTCTACTACTTGAGAATCAATAGCGTCAACTGTAATTCTTTTTTGCCTGAATCCGAACTGAGATTGAGGTAATATATTTTTTTGATTAACAAAGTCTAAAAATCGGCTGTAAATAAACTGTTAAAGTATTTTGCCAAAAACAGGTTAAGTTAAATTGGTCTAAAATAAGAAAGTTTGAGTTCAATTCCGTCTTTATGTATAGCTATGACTTTTGCAACTTTTAATGAGCTCGGAAAACTGTTGCCGTCAAAACATTTTTGAAATAAAACAGTTAGGACAGGCTCCAATATTTCTTTTATTGAGAGAATGTAAGCATGATTGATGTTGTGGTAATCCAGGCTGAATTTCTTCTTCAAATTTTCCAAGATTTGTTTGAGTTCATTGGTTGACACTGGTCTCGAAAACCTTGATTTTTCTACATTTTTTTGCTGTTATGTCTGATGTATGGTTTATGGAAAGCGTTCGCTAATAATTGATGAATAAAACTGCATCAGTGTTAACATTCTCGATGTTAAAACACTTGTTTTAAAGAGTCCCAGTAAGATTCTTAATCAATTGAAAAAACTCCTTTTTGTTTTTTGTGACTTGCGTTTGCAGTTTGTTCTAATGAAAATCTTTTTTCTTTTTTGCTATCAATCTTTTGACCCGAAACATTTTGCAAATTAGATTTATCTCTAGCTTCAGCAGTCCCATTATTCATGAAAGAACTATCTTAGCCTATTTGTATTGCTTGCAGTATTTTAGCTTAACCCAAAAAGTGATGTCTTCATTTACCCTTTTAGGTTTTTCAGGGATCAATTTATTCAAATTGTCAAAAAGCATTGCGTGAATTCGAGTAAAGCCCTCCTCGCAGCCTAAATCATTCGCCTTTTATTCTAAGTAGTCGAAATCAATATTCAAGCTGGTTTCTAACTGTTCTATAATATATATTCTGTTGAGTAGGTACCAATAAGTTTTTCCAGTTTGCATTACTAGCACTAAAAATCTCGCGCGTTATTTGTCCCACATTAGCCAAAATTGCATTTTTTAAATCCCAATAACTTCTCAACAAATGATCTCAGGTAAAAAAAAATTGAAATTAGAGCTCAGGATATCACTGGCTTTCACTGGTAAAAAAATTCAAAAATGGCTAAATGAAAAGCCGTTCAAAAATGGCTAGTTGGAAATTCCCAATTTGGTAGGAAAAAACTACCCTGAGCACAGATACTCCGTCATTCTCTTCGCAAGTCGGAATGGAACAAAAAGCTCAGACCCTGATATGTTCAATTATTCTTAAATGAAAGACTTCATAACGGGTTTAAATTTAATGATGAAAATGCGCGCCTTAAAAGTTTACTTGTTTTTGGAACGTGTATCCTAAACAATAAACTCAACTTTGATTAGGGTTTAAGGTGGTTGTTTTTTGAACAATGAGATAGCTTGAACAAAGGTTTTCTTGATGTTTGAGACTGCAGTTTGTTACTTTCGGCCACTGTTTGATTCATGGATTACAAAAAGTTGTACCTAGCACTTAAGGCTGACGTACTCCCATGTGAAGAAGATTCATTGTGTTAACTTATTTGTAATCAAACTCAAAGCAATTGCTATTAAACTGCCGATATTGCCTGCTGCTGATTTACCAAAAAAGAATTAATAATTGCTTCTTGGGTAGTATAACACGACTTAGGTAGTATAAAAGCTACTCCGTAGTATAAAACCACGCTCCGCTTCTGTTACCAGGAAACTGTATTGAGATGACCTCAAAAATCAGACATGGCACACATCACATTTTATTCAGATTTTGGCGCTAACGAAAATTGGGGACGAACTCTGCTTTGAAAACAAAACAACCAACGCTTTCTTTCTTGAATCAGATAAAAGCAAATCACTCAACTTTCCGTGACGTCGTAATTATCTTTGATCGAAATCTAGTTACAGCTTTCTTTAAAGAGAACAATCTATCAGCAAGCTAGTAGAATTTGTGGAGACAAAAAGGAGCTTTGCGACACTTACAATACAACACAAAAATAACATTGTAAATTAGCATACAGATAATCATAAGGAAACAAGTCGATGACATTGGTTTTTAAATTCGAAAAAAACTACATTCCAAAAACTCATAAATTTGTCTCAAATAATCACCAATTTGAGGAAAAAATATCAAAGAAAACAATCACCACCGTTATATAACCATTCAAAATCATTAACCGAGCGGCAACTAAGCTGACAATACTCGGGTAGACATCAAATGAGCCAAAAACAAAATGTCAGAAAACTTTGCGCTATACGAATTTGAAATGCGAAGTTTTACGCTCTATTCTCTGAAAGATAAAAAAAACTAATAAAAAGCATTTTTTGCATCCTAAACGACGCAAAATTAAATAACCCAGTCGACATAGCAAAAGCCGAAACCAAAAAAGCAATAACAAATAGATAGCAGATCATTATACAAAAAAAAATAACTTACCGACTCAAGAACGACTTTCAACACAGAGGCGAAGTTGCACTTCGCATACACAAGCAAAAATATTACCAACAATGCTACTGGGAAAAACTGAATGAGTAGAAGTTTAAATCTACATAATTTCTTAAGTGACCTACGCTTATTACGAGCCTTCATAATTGCTAAGTGACGCAAGCCAATTATGACGCATCATCAGTCAATTTGAAAAAAAAAAATTTACCAACTAACATGCCTCAATTTATAGAGCGGACGCATTTTAACTAGTATATAAAAAGTTCATTATAAACATCAGCCCCTGCCCAGGTTCGAACCCTCTTACTTTGTTGCAGTTCTCCTTCTCTACCTCTACGCGACAGATTCATGAGACCTTGAAGCTAAAGTGATATTTGTAATATAATAGTATGTGTTAATATCCTTAGCATTGGCTGTAATTAATAGCAGGTTATTGAGCTTCTGCATATACTGCAAAAAAAGAACACTTTTAAAATGAGTTCAAAAAATTGCTACTTCGGTTGGAAAAAAGAGAGTTCATACTATCACACAAGCTTTGCTTGTGTAATTAAAGTTGAAACTGCTTAAATAAGAAAAAGATTGATGCCTTGAAAAACGAAATTCAATGCTTTGGACAGTAATTCGACAATAATAAGAAGACAAAAATTAACCCGACTAATTAACTTTTCAAACAAAACTAATTTCCACATCAAAGGCGTGTAATTAAGTTCCAAAGGCGTGTAATTTTCTTGTGGACCAAGAGAGAGGGGCTTGAAGAATTTTGAGGTTCCATAAAAAAGCAAGATCAATTTCTTCCAGATCTTTAAAAAAAACTGTGTGCCGGGTATCGAACCCCAGACCTTATGTTACAAAGTTGCGTTCTTTTTCTATTGTTTTTCTATTGTGAGAAGGTCCTTAAAAAGTGACGAGGTTCAAGAATACTGAACGGTAAGCATACAAACATGGTAAAAAGTAAAACAAGGTCCGACGGGGAATCGAAACCGAGACCTGTCGTCTGTATGTGAAGTTGTTAACGGAAAAAAGTATAGATCCAGATTACAAGTCACTTCCTCTCGCAAATGAAATTAGGAGTAGTAGGATCAAACTCTCATTAGAACTTAGCTCGTATGCCTCAGATATTAGCTTATGCATCGTAGCTGATTACTTACTTCTATAGAGTTGTAAGCCTTTTACGAAGATAAAAAATAGAAGCAATAAGTTTTCCCGGAGAAAACTTATGGTCTTTTCATGGTCCAGGCAGTAAGGGAGCTCCTGATAAACCAAAAAAAAACCCGAAGTGCAGCCCAATAAATTCGAAAACGAATAGGGCTCTGAAGTTTGATAATTAGTGGAAAATTGCCGTACTATCGCGTAAAACAAGAAAACAAAACTTTTAAAAAATAGGAGCAATGCGGAAAAACCGTTATTATATGCAAAATTTTCCCTCGTAATTAGAGCGGATCGTGTGAAAGTTTTAGTAACAATTGTGACTTACAAGTTGCATGAGTGAAATCTGATCCTGTATCTGAAGTTCACTGGTGAGAGTGAGGGTGGCAGAGTTGGGCACAGTGAACACACTAGTCACCACCCCCAACACCCTCCTGCTGTGAGGCTTCGTCAGTTTACACGCCACTGATGAGGGCACGCTGCTGCAGAAAACATAAACACCTTAAATAACTTCAGATAGAAAATTCAAAGCGGGGTTAAAATTAAACTCCGGGTGCTTGTGCAAATTTCAAAGTCTCGTGTTCTGACGACCACAGATCCATTTGAAAAAAGACGTAAGCAAAAATACGATAAATTTACTTTTCTTATTTGAAGATAGTACAAGATCTTTTTGCTTTCTCAAATAATTACTAATACACCAAATACAGTAAAACTGTTAATATACATGAAATGTCACAAGTTAGCTGTTTGAGATTCTCTAAACAGTTTTTTCAAATTTACCTATAAGACAATCAGGACCTCTATAAACTGTTTTTTAACTTCAGCCCTAAAATTAATTTGTTAGTTGAGTTGATGCTGGCTGTCTTCTCTTTACTCTCCAGGATATCCTACTCGATGAGCAGTACTGCTCTTCAGGATCTCCCTCCACGCATAATATATTGCTTTTGGTGTTGTATGTGTAGCTGGTAAAGTAATTCAAATTTCAAAGACTGCGTCCTCACAACTGCGTCACCATGTTTTAAGCGCATTTAATTATAAAAAACCTAGCCAACCCACAGTTGGAAAAGAGTGAAAGAAATAAACAGAAAAAAACTTTGACTTGACTTTTTTTAGAAAAAAAAAACGTTTAATTTCGAATTTCAAAGGAAAAAAATAAGGCCTGGAACCTCTATGAATTTCGCAAACAAAATATGGCTGACACTTTTTCGATAAAAATAACCCATTTGAGAAAACTGGATCGATAAGTAAAAGTTTCATTCCGCTGGGAAATCTGAAAATTACAATCAACTTTCGAAACTAAAAGTCGATCACGTTTTTCGTGCTCTTTACACTTTACTGTTCGATAGTGGAGTTTGCCTTCCTTTCAGCAAAAGAAATGAATGAAATTTGAAAAGAAATCAGAAAAGTCAAACGAAATAGTTCCGACCATATTTTCCATAAAATACATAAAAAGTTGTTTATTATTTTTAAAAAAATAATATCGTTTTTTTTGGATGTCGACAAGTAAAAAAATCTGACAAAGTCCTGGACCTAGAACAATTCGACAGTCACAGTAAAATAGACAAATTAGGCAACAGTATTTGTCGAAAAATGACAAAACAAAAAATCATTCAAAACATCAAAAAAAAATCCCAAGACGGTGCTGAAGACTTAAGTTTCACGGCTTATCCTTCAATATGAAACCTGCTCGCTTGCTTTACTCGCTCTAAACTGAACTGAAACTAGGGACACTTGGACAAATTTTTGTAAATTTATTAACGTTGTTCGAATCAGGTCTGGAAGGGCTTATAGATGATATATCACACCACCCTTTCTGATGATTATTTGTGGTAGCTGTTTTATTTGTACAAATTAAGCCTGCTCGCTCACTCTAAACGCTCAATATCAGACCAAAACCAAAAACTCACACTGGCTTTTCTCGAAACGGAGAAAACTTTTCCAACTTTTTAATGTCGTTCGAATAACTGAAAGGGCTTTAATATGATGATGTATCCGTCAACACATTCCGATGATTATTTGTGGTACCTGATTTTGTATGGAAAACACAAAAAAACTTGAACAGCCGAGAACAAAGTTCCTCCGCGTGTTCACTGATCGGAACAAAATCAAACAAAAAAATCATCGCGACCTATCTAAGAGTCTTCACTACGTTCATCGACTCTTAAGCAGGGCCTCCGCAGAAATAATTTTAATGAAATAATTTTTGATAAATAATTTATTCCTTGTCAAATTTTATGGAAATAATTTATTTTAAGTGGCGCTCTAGGAAAATAATTTATGGAATGCAAACCCATTATTTCGAAATAAGGGAGATACTATTTTCCCGTAAGATGCGCCTCCTGTGCCAGATGTTGCAATGAAAGTAAACAAATCTAAGCACTGGTACGTCGAACCGATGCGAAACACTCTTCAGTCCCGCGAAATTGTCGATTGGTTATCTCAGGCATGGCTTTTCTCCAATGCATCTCGAAGCGGAGCTATTCCTCTCTGTGAATAAAGAACTTTGGGATGCAAAACTTATCTCAAAAATTCTGTAAATAAATGGCATTTATATGCAAGAGAATTTAATTATTTCCATAATTTATTTCTTCTCTCTGAAAAAAAAAATATTTATTCCTGGTTACAGATTAGGGAAATAATTGAGGGACAACCTTCCATATTATGCCCTGCTTAAAAGTGACTCATTATTCAGTTACACATTGACTCAGATTTCGGCGATGGATGCTTTAAATGTTTACCCACAAATTCTTGCTTACTAGTCCAGGATGAAGTCCTTGTCCATATCTAGTCTGTGGATGGGACCCAAGTTGGCAGACAGCTTGTAGTCATGTCCAATCAGCACATTCACTCCAATCTGAACAGATATATTAAATAAATCACGGAAATAAAATGATCTTTAACCAAGAACAATGACTATAATCTTCGTACAATATATATTTCAATTAAGACTAATGACGTTTTAAACAACTTATACGACCGATGCCTCTGATTTCAGTTTTAACAAGAGTAACCTGTTGCTGTATCAGTAGCACAGACAGCAAAAAACTCTTTTTCATTCCAAACTAATGGTGTGGCGGGGTAGTATCAGAGGGAAAAAGCTTACAGAATTAGCAAACTGATTATAATCGCTCTTGGTCGTCTTCAAAAAATGAATAACAAAACAAAAAATTGTTTTTTTTTCAAGTTTCTATTGCCAATGAAGCGCTAAATGAAGTTTTTCACGGCTTAAATAAAAAATTTTGATCTTATAAATTCTACTTGCTCACTTAACTCGTTGGATATGAGGCTAAAAAGCAAAAAAAATGATACTAGGTTTTTCTCGATAAATCTTAAAATCTGATATTTTTGAAATTTTTTCAAATGTAATCGAATCACGACTGAAAAGGCGTCAATCTGATGTAAGACTCGACTCATTCTGATGATTAGCTGGGATAACTGAGCCGTTTGCGAGAAAAAAAAACTAAACACAGAGGCGGAGCTTCGCAACCACTACCGAGAACACAAAAAGCAGCTCTATAAAATGCAATAAGAAAAAGTAGAAATAAGCTTCCAATTAGTAAAAAAATAGTATAGATTTCGTATTCGATCTTGCGACCTAGATATAATGAGTCTAACGCACTAAACACTCAGTCACGCACGCTTAATACATCACAAATAAAGCAGAGAACAGATGCTATGAAATTCCCAATGCCAGATCGTTATAATAGAAAAAAAGCCATCAAATAAGTGAACAATTTCACTTTCAATGAACTTTTTTATTTATGAGCTAAGTTAGAAAAAAAAGGTTCACACTATTACACAACGCTGATCGCTAGAGTAAAAACACGAAAACACGTCCGAAACCATAGTTCTTCCCCACTTTCAGTCGTCGGAAAAAAACTATCCAGCTTCACTAGAAATTCAAATGACACATAAAACAAGCTACCAGTAGCAAGCATGCCCTTAGTCACCTGTTTGAGTGCGGATATATTGAAGGTGTTCTTCTCTGAGAGGTCGATCTCTTTGCTGAATCCCTCCAACAGCTCATTCTCCACCGTGCCACTTTTGGGATCCAGATTCACGCTATTCGACAGCATCAGTTTGCATCTGCAGAAAAGTAACAACTTTTTTTTTGAACGAAACTTTTAAGTCCTTTTCATTATGAAAAACCTTCATCGCCTCTCTACCCATGCATTTCAAAAAGATGGCGCAAGATGCGATATGCTACTAGAGCTTGCGAGGCAAAATAATTGTCAATCAGAAGACTAAAGAGAACACTATCCTAAACCAAATGTCGAGGCATGATTTATGCTTCCAACTTCAGTGATCTCCTCTTGAAATTGCGCAATTTCAACAAATAAAGACTTATATACATGTACTCTAGCGTTAAATTGAATAATACTATCTATTGGACTACGTTGTATTGAATATTTGGCAACGAAATGCTAGAAGTCCGACTGACTTACGAGTTACTTTGCCAAAAGTGTTCTCTTTTTGTCTTGATTGCGAATGTGCCCACTTTTACTTTGGAAGCTTCATTGATGGATCCCGCCGCTAGAATTGCCTCTCCTGTTGACAGATTGGCAATGCCATTCGATCCACCGCCACAAACTGTCCTCACAAAGTCATAGCTAACTGTTTGGAACATTACTTGATTTCAGTCTGGTAGACTTTGGATTATGAGCATTTATAGCGCCATAGAAATCTGAAAACAAGCAAAAATTTGAATACTACCCTGATATACTTATAGCATCATTTTGAGCTTAAATGAGCAAGACTGCTAGTTTATCAGGACAAAGCCCTTGTGTTCCGACTGCTTCCTAATCGGTACAAAACAGTTTTTGCTAGTTTTTTTTGAAAAACCATAAATTTTAGGCAAGATCAAATATTTTGAACCCCTTTTACAAAGCTTATATCTCTACCGGTGCTGAGGGGTTTGACTTCGTTTGTTCGACTTTATTGGGGCATTTTTCGACATTCCCGACTTTTTTCGTTAATGTTCCGTTTGACTTAATTTTGATCATTTTTTACCCTCAGGGCCGAGGTCATCGTTTAACAGACCGTTGGGGGCTGAATATTGATATGTTCAGCAGAGTGTTGGGAACATAAGTTAGCATGTGTAGACCACTTGGACAAAAAAAACCCGGGTCGAGGTTTGTGATTTGGGAGCGGTGGTGAAGTGGTTACGTCTCCGCCTTTCAATCGAAAGGTCGGATCTTCGAGGCCCACCATGATCCGTGCGCTCGTTGCTTGAGGCTGAAGCAACATTACCCAGCCCAGAAAAATAACCAAAAAAATTGCATGTAGTTCTTAAACAGGGGCACAACAGCGGTTCGCCGTGATGAGCTGTACAGCTCTTGTGTTGGTCCTTTCCCCCGTGGATAAATGGTCTTAATGAATTAAGATTTGTTTCGAATACTCGTCCAAAAATTAATATTAATGGTCAATGCAAATTAATATTAAATATTTGCGTCATTTTTTCGCTGATGTTCAGAGCGAATACACAGGCAGTCTTCAGTAATTTCTCCAAAGGTTTGCGGTTGAAAAAAAACCTGAGGTTACTCTTCTATTTGTACATGCTTCAAAGCCTGTGAACGAACAAATCTACGCCCTCGATCTCCACTGCTGGTCTAAGACGACACATTCGACCTGCATGAATCATTCATAAAACGGGCAAAACCAATCGTTGGCAGGTGGTTCGAGCTAACGAAGAATATTTCGTCCAGACGGTGAGAGCCAGTGACATGGCAGTTTGGCTGGTAAATTTGATCTCACCAGTCTTTCAAAATGTTTGCGGAACTGTTAAAAGAATAACTTAAGGATTAAAAATTTAATGTATCTGAGTTTTTCAATGACATTTAAGATCAGCCGCCAAAAAGAAATCGAAAACAGGCAAAGCAGTTTATTTCCGTTCTACCCCAAGACAAAAGACCTTTATTATACGGAAAAAGCCAAAATTTGAATGAAAAATTTTTGGAAACATTTGGATATCGACTGATGGTATCTAACGGAATCACAATGAACGATATGGCCTCTGACCTAATCGATTTGTCTACAGAAGACAGAGCTAAGCTTTTTACATGTTTTTCAAAATGCTTTTCATTGGTCAAACCATTTTTGACGTTGGAAAGCTATTCATCGGCTTAAATCGTACTAGCGTTTAACGCACCTCCGGTGCTTCGAATTTTTTCGACAACTTATGAAAATCCGCATATATTTGAAACAAGATCTGCAAACTTTTAGTGTACTCGATTGCACCCAATTACAGGGTTGGTAATTTCAAACTTTTAAATCTTTCTTAATTCCCAATTTGAAAAACCAGAAAAGCGATCTCTCGAAAACTTAATGGACCTCTAGAGAAATTTGGAGGTCAGATTTGCAGCCACTGAGAGTCTCTGAGAGCACCCTACTATAGGGCTAAAAATTTCAAATTTCTTGAATTTTTTTAAACCTGTTTCCCAAAAAAAATTGAAAAAATCATTAAAAAAACCTCTTATCTCGGAAACTAAAAGGATTTGAGCATTCATATTTAGAGACGCCTGGGTGTACGATGACAAAATTTGAGACGCCTGGGTGTATACTGACATTAAGGTTCTGAAAAAATGCAGCCTCCAATATGACTGCTCCAAATATCTTGCCTCCAAATATGACTGCTCAAATCCTTGTAGTTTTCGAGATATGACGCTTTTTTGTGATTTTTTCAAAATTTTTCAGAAACTTAAGTTATTAATAGTTTTTAAAAATCTGAAATTCCCAACCCTGTAGTTGGGTCCTGCCAGAGTAATCTCAAAGATTGCGAATCTTGCCTCCAAATATGACTGCTCAATTCTTTGTACTTTTCGAGATATGACGTTTTTTGTGACTTTTTCAAAAAAAGTTTCAGAAAACCTATATTAATATCTTTTACAAAATCTGAAATTCAACCCTGAGTTCCCTGAGAGCACCCTACTATAGAGCTAAAAAGTTCAAATTTCGTGAATTTTTTTTCGTGAGTTTCCCGAAAAAAATATATTAAAAAACTTATCTTGGACACTAAAAGGATTTGAGCATTCATGTTTAGAGACGCCTGGCTGTACGCTGACAAGATTTGAGACGCCTGGGTGTACGCTGAAAAGATTTGAGACGCCTGGGTGTACGCTGGCAATAAGGTTGTGTCTTCATCAAGTTGGTAGTTTCAAATTTTGTGAACTTCTTTCTAGATAAGTTCTTTGAGAAATTTGAAAAATAATAAAACGTCACATCACGGAAATCAAAAGCAATTGAGCAGTCGCATGTAAAAAGATTTGTAAATCCTGAGGGTACCCTGACAGCACTTAGCTACAAAGTTAGGAATTTTAAAATACGAAAAAAAAATTCATTATTTAAGCTTTCTGAATTTCAAAAAAAAAACCCACAAAAAGCGTCATATCTCAAAAACTATAAGGATTTGAACAGTCATATTTGAAGGCAAGACTTACAACCCTTGAGAGTACTCTGAAAGGACCCAACTACAGGGTTCAGAATTTCAAATTTAAGTTTTCTGAAAAATTTTTGAAAAAATCAAGAAAAACTTCATTTCTCGAAAACTACAAGGATTCGAGCACTAATATTTGGAGGCAAGATTCGAAATCCTTGAGAGTAATCTGAAAGGACCGAACTACAGGATTAGGAATTTCAGATTTTTCCCAACAAATTTAAACAAATTTTTAATACAAAATTAATTTAAGTTTTCTGAAAATTTTTTGAAAAAATCAACAAAAACTTCATTTCTCGAAAACTACAAGGATTCGAGCACTAATATTTGGATGCAAGATTCGAAATCCTTGAGAGTAATCTGAAAGGACCGAACTACAGGATTAGGAATTTCAGATTTTTCCCAACAAATTTAAACAAATTTTTTATACAAAATTAATTTGAGTTATCTGAAAATTTTGAAAAAAAAATCACAAAAAACTTCATCTTGAAAACTACACGGATTTGAACAGACATATTTGGAGGCAAGATTTGGAGCTCTTTAGAGAATTCTGACAGCACCCAACTACAGGGTTGGCAATTTCAAACTGAAAAAAAACTAATTTAATTTTTCTAAAAATTTTTTGAAAAATCACAAAAAACGTTATATCTCGAAAGTATAAGGATTTGAACAATCATATTTGGAGGCAATATTTGCAATTCCTTAGAGTACCCTTACAGCACCCAACTACAGGGCTTGGAATTTCATAATTTGAAATAAAAAATTAAATTTTCTGAAATTTTTGAAAAAATCTTAAAAAACGTCATATCTCGAAACTACACGGATTTGAACAGACATATTTAGAGGCAAGATTTGGAGCTCTTTAGAGAATCCTGACAGCACCCAACTACAGGGTTGGGAATTTCAAACTGAAAAATAACTAATTTAATTTTTCTAAAATTTTTTGAAAAAATCACAAAAAAACGTCATATCTCGAATACTACACGGATTTGAGCGGTCATATTTGGGGGCAAGATTCGCAATCCTTGATAGTACTCTCACAGTGCCCAACTACACTGCTTGGATCTTGAAGTTTCGTAAACTACTTTGTAATTTGAGTTTTCTGAAAATTTTTGAAAAAATCACCAAAAATCGTCTTATCTCGTTAACTAAAAAGATTTTGGCATTCAAAATTGGAGGCCAAATTCGCAACCAATTGGGGAATCCGGAGAGCATCCCATTATTGGGCTGCTTATTTTAAAATCGGTGAAATAACCACTAAAATCAAACTGGAAAATCCTTAACCATTGCAATATACGATAGAGCTTAAACGTGCAGAAATTCATTCGTTAAACATGCAAAAATAATACGTTGAAAAAGCTTAAATATGGCAAGATAGTGAAGCCCACATTTAAATATATAATATATTCTCGATCAAATAATTTTCGGCAGAAAAACGCATCAGTCGAAACGTTTTTCCACGTTGAAAACAGCCAAACGCTTAACTGTACAATAACATCAAAGATTTCTACGATTACTCATTGACTTGGCCTCACAAGAACAGGATAGTTTCGATAATGTTCGTATCGTCATCCGCTCCAAAAGTTACGAAAAAACTGATGAGATGTTCCACACATAAAGTTTACTCGCTAAAAACCATAACACCGTCTGGACGAATAATTATCCGTTGTCAGGCCACATGCTTAAGCTTGGTGTTGCCCGTTTTGAGAATCATTCGTTCAAGTCCAATAAGTCCTACTACACCATGAAGACCGAGGGCGCAGTTTTGTTCGTTTAAAAGCCCTAAAACCTGTACAGATAGGAGGAGTTTCAAGCTTTTCATCGACCGCATGTGTTTGGATAAAAACATAAGACCGCATGTTTAGTCGCACTGATCATCATCGATGCGGAGACAAAAAACTTCAATCTTCTGGTAGTGGCCCTCAATGAACCATCGTACAGTAGTCAACCAGGACCGTTTTGTTTCAAGAATAGGATATGCTGAAAAACCTCAGGGCAGACTATTAATGAATACAAGATTTTGTTTAGAGGTTTGTTCATAGGAACTTCCTATGAAACATATCAACAGAAGTCCTTGATTCAAGAAAAAAGATTTCTCATGATGAACAGATAACCAATAAGGTTTTGAAATAGCGATCAAAACGAAAAACGCACTCTGGTTTATTTATGTTCACCAAATGAGATTTTCTGCAACGAGAAATCGGTTGAAATCCGAAGACGAAGGTTTGTTTCTTCATGGTCGCCAATTGAGTTAGACGAAAACTTTAATTGAACGGAATAGTTTCGTTGGTGTTCGTTTGGCCAACTGCTCCTAACATCTTTTTAAAAAAACTGGAGCGGTTTTCCACAACATCAGCCAAATAGCTTAGCTAGCATAAAACCGTCTGGTCGAAAACTTTTCTCTAATGACAGACCGGCAGCTCATTCTTGATGTTGCTCGTTTTGCGAATCATTCATGCAAGTCAAATGAGTCGTACTAGGTCAGCAGTGGAGATCGAGAGAGCATGTGATAATTTAAAGCCTTGAAGCCTGTACAAATAGGAGCTTCAAGCTTTTTATCACCCGCATGCTTTTGGATAAATAAATGAAGACTGCCCACGAAGGGGGGCGTTCAACAGTGCCGAAGTACAACAGTGCCGAAAAAGGCGGGAAAATTTCAGAATAATTAATACGCATTTTCTAAAGAGCGGGAAATTACTGACGCTAATTATCAAAGAAAATCACGCCAATTTTGGCGCCAATATGTCTGCAATTGCAAATTAAACAATTATTTTGGCGCCAAAACGTCTAAGTTGCAAATTTTCTCGCTCAAAATCTAAAAGTTTTACTTAAGATTGTAAACAATCGCTGTTTAATTTTTGATTGCCGCACTTAATATGTTGAAATTTATTCAAATTTTTGGCACTGTTGAACAAAGTTTGCATTTTCGGGATTGTTGAACAAAGTTTTCATTTTCGGCACTGTTGTACTTCGGCACTGTTGTACTGCCCCCTCGTGAAGCCGTACTGAACATCATCAACAAAAGGCAATTATTTAAACATCATCAGTTCATTCAAACCGCAGAAAAACCCAACTGTTTGATTACACAAACAAGGTACGCTTAAAAACCGAAACCTCAGGAGAGACAATTAGTGACTCCTCTTGGGGATATATTAGTCTTATTCATAGCAACTACCTGGTCATGTCAGCAAAAGTAGCCTATTCAAGATGAAATTTTTTCGCCTGATGGGCATAAAAAACAAGTTCTATTTCGAAATAGCTATTAAAATCCAGAAACGAGCACTGGTTTTTTATTCTCACCAAATGAGACAGACGAAATCCAAAAAAAAAAATTCACTAATTATCGACCAGTAGTCAATTAGCTCAGAAGAAAAAAGCGCTAATGTTTGATTCAATGAACAACCAACGCTAAAAACAACAAAACTTGAAGAGAGACAATTAGTGACTTCTCTTAGAGACGTGCTAGAAAACTATCCAGAGGACCTATATGGGACAGCTCAACTGAAGTAGCCGAATCAAGATGAAACTTTTTCGCACAATAGGCAAACAACAAACTTTGTTTTGAAATAGCGGTCAAAAACCAAAAAGCAACACTGGTTTCTTTGCCAAATGAGATAGAAGAAACCCTCAAAAACAAACAAATTCACAAACTATCACAAAGTATCGAAAAAAACGCAAGTATTTGATTCCATGAGTAACGTCGGCTAAAAAACGAAATCTTTTCTAGTTCAAACTGAAAAAAAATTAGAAGTTTGGAAAATTTATTAATCTTGTTACCTCACATGCGTATGGGTTCGAGAATCCAAACAGACTCGTTGGAACTTGGTTTGATGAAACTGTTCCAAATGAAAGCACAAAAAGTTCGCCACAGTTTCCATTGGGAGAACTAGAGTTTATACGAGACTAAAATAAATGTGTGGCATCTGCGTTTGGTCACGATCTTCAAGAAGCCTACTGCAATTATCAAAGAGCGAAATGACGACGACTTCGAGACTGTTTCGCCCATGATTCGACTTAGATCGAATAAAGCCTTCGCCCGACCATCTCAATTATTGGTCGAAAAGCCGACACCGTTCGACCGTTTCGGCTGAATCACGAGTCGAACAGCTCTGCCCGGATAGCTATCAAAACAGCAAAGATCAAATAGAATTCAAATACAAAAGCGTCATAATTTTATAGAATTAATCCACTTCATGATGTTCAATCAATGAAAACGATTTTGTCGATCGGTCTACTAGGCAGTCTTGTACAGCGTAGGCTATGATCTGACGAGGAGCCATCTTCATGCTGTTTAGTCTTTCGTTGTTCACCGCATTCCCGTCACTTTCGTCTGCCAACTACAACAAATCGAGGGTTCAGATTGAACGAACCTAGAATTTATGTTCCTACCCTCCCTTGCAATCATGAACATGTTAACTTTATTTAAAAAGATAGCAATAACCTGTCCAAAATTAAAAAAAATTAGGTATATTGGCGCCAAAGTCTTTCTTTGAAAGGTGCAACTCCAATTGCTATCCAAAATGGATTCTTCTGCCGGCAAAAAATTATCAACAAATTTTAAACACTATATTTATTAATTATGAAAAAGACTTTGAAAACAAAATGCAGAAGGAATAAAACTAATTGCCTTTGACTAGAATCATCATCTACATCATATTTTAATAGAAAACCCAATCTGAAAGCTTCAGTACCTTTGAAAATTCGACTTTGTCCGTGACCTTTACATCCTTGGCTAGTCGGATGATAGAGGAATTGAGAACCAGAAACACACTTGTTACCAGAGCTAAACTGTAACCAGGGTTTTTCTTCATTTCATCAATTACTGCCTTTGGAATTTGCCTGAAACGTCGGCATCACCGTTATTTTAGATGTTAGTTATTTTTGATGTTATTTCTGAAACGTTATTTTTGATATTTGGCACTACTTGCGATACAACAAAAAAACGGCAGTCAGCCAAAAAAAAGGACGAAAACAACAGAATTGATATTTAATATGAAAAAACAAACATCTTCCTAAATAATTACATTTGGGTCGGATACAGTTCAATTTGCGGAAAGATGCTGAAAAACACCATTGCCAGTGTTAAATAAGTACTGAAAAACAAAATTTACACAGAGGCGAAGCTGCGCTTTGCAAATAATTGCGAGAACACGACCAAAAAGCAGCTCTATCAAATGAAATTTAAAAAAGTAGAAAAAAGCCTCGAATTAGCAAAAGCTCGGCAACGTGTAGGATTCAAAACTGCGACCTTGCAACTTTGAGTCTCACGCACTAACCACTCAGCCGCGGATGCTTAAATTCCTTAAAAACTAGCCGCTAATAACCAAGCTACATATGCTAATATATTGCCAATTCTATACGGCAAAAGTGGTACTAAATACAAAAAGACACAATTTAGGATGTAATAAATTGGAAAGCATAAAGCCAAATTATGTATAAATTATGCATTTCAAAAAAAAATTTAGTTGAGATACATTGAGTTGGAAAATTCTGACATCGAGCTGTTTATCATTGTACTGCTGTTTGAAACAAATAACTTTTTTCGGTTCATTTGATGAAATAAAAATACATCAGCTGTGTTAACTTTTTACTAATCAAATGTCTTAAGAGTTGCCAGCTTTCAAATTTTAAAATGACGTTGATTTATGTAAAACGCAGCCTTGAAAAACATTATTGCTGCGAGCTAGGTTATAACCCCAGTTTCGTCGAAATAGGTACCTAAATATTCTCCTGTACGGTATAACATAACTTAATTACACTCGTAAAAACTGTTTTTCTTCGTCTTTTACAATCAAAGTACGCAAGACAGTGTCTACTAATAATTCTTCAGATCTACTGGCGGAATCAACACTTTACCTTTTAAATCAGCTTTCTGTAACAGTGTTATTTTTATTAAACAGCTGTAAAACCAAATATTCTTATATTTTAGAAAAAAGGCCGTTTTTTGTTTCTGTTTCGTTGCGTTCATTGTTGATTGACTTTTTACAAGTGCCTGTTGGCTGTGTTTTAATACATTTTGGCATGCAGATTTACTCCTTTGTTTCTCTTTGTGTTTCGTGATCAAAGTACGCGAGACAAAGGATTGAGACTTCATGCCAAAAGGTGAGAAAAAAAACTTTCAAAAATTGTTTAACAGTAACGCCCGACAAAACAATTCATTTGGAAAGATAAAAAAAATCCAAAACAGCCCACAGACAATTTTACCATTTCAAAGTAAAAAAATATATGGGTTTACAGCTCTTGAATAAATTCATGATTGATACTTTTTTGATAAAAAAATCTCTGTTCGAGAAAACTGGATTAAAAGGTAAAGTGTTAACACAGCCGGGAAATACGAAAATTGAATTCTATTTTCGAAAGTAGAATTCCATCATGACTTTACATGTCATTTCCGCTTTCGTAATTGAAAGCTAATTTCGCTTGCCCTTACGCAAATGGACTTGAATTGGACTGAAAATTTACCTAAGGGCACTCATAAAAGCATTTATATGTATGCATGCACTTTCTGTAGTTAAGAGAGCATTGTAAGACTTTTCGAGAAAAAAAACTAAAAAAAAATCACGACCTATATAAAAGTCTGAACCACGTTCATCGACTCTTAAAAACGACTAAAAAATCAAAAACTACCTTTTTGATACTTTGTCATTTCCAATACCAATTTGTAACGGTTTCAGTACTAAATCCGAGAGAAAACAATCCCCATTTTCTGATTTTTCACTTAAACCCTTCATCCCAAATTTTGGAGAGTAGCTTTAAAGGAAATTGAAGTTTCACAAAGCTTTCAAAATGTCAAAAAATGGACATTTTTGAGGCCAAAACTATTTTCTATAAAAACCAGGACGTAAGGGCGTAGCCGCTTATGAAAAAAAGATTTCGAAAAACATCTTAATCTTTAATATGGCAGGGCGTTTTTGAGAAAAAGGTTTCACAAAAACAGTCAAAACGACAAAAAATGGCATTTTCCAAAGGTCGCGGCTAATTGTCTGCAAAAACAGGACTTAGCCGGTAATGCAAAGAAAATTCCCTTAAGATGTTCTTTGGATGTATCTACTCTTGCTGGATGCGTAGAAAATTGAATAGAACGACGATTGAAAAAATACAGGCATGCTCACAAAATACCTGTAGACAGATATTCTGCTACCCTCAATGATTCAAGTAATTTTGTCCAACTAGTGTGAAATCCTAAAAAAGCTTTATTCCGATTTAATCAGAATTGGTAATCTCCAGTGTAAAAATGTACAATGTCCAATTCTTAAGGCTCCAAATATTCAACACAGAGGTTTAGCTGAGCTTCGCTACAAAACACGAAAGCCGCTAAGGTGCAAAAAAATCGGATAAATTCAAAAAACTTAAGCCGTATCCAAAGTTAGTAAGGAGCTGAAAAAAAATAAAATGTAACAAGCACTAACTAAGTTGACACAACGAGGCAACTAAGCAGATATGACATCAATAATCGAAACCATTTAAGCCAAAAACTTCAAATCGAAAAAATTAATAGGCGAAAAAAAAGAAAAAGTCGAAAGTTAATTTACATTTGACAAAAATACAGAAGCAAATCACTCTTTACAAACACATGCACAAAAACGTCAAAATGCAGCTCGAAAAAATTAAAAGCAGAGAGAGATAAGGAAAACAAGGAAGATAGAAATAAGTCTTGAAAATCGATCCTCTGAAATAGGAGTCTCACACCTGTTTGATACATTTTATCATAACAATGAAATCATACATAGGTACAATGTAGTGAGAGATAATGGGAGAGCGAAGAAAAATGATGAATTTAATATGGATATTTTGTAACAAGGCCTCACAACACTCCATGCACAAAGAAGAATTGATTGCTGGCGGAGAAAATGACGAAAGACAAAAATGTAACTTGAAAGCTCATACGACCTGTTTTGAAGCTATAAAAACGCCAGTTTCGAAGGTGGTTCAGTTCAACGTGAAATTAATTTTAAAATGACGTTGATTTATACAAGACGCAAAATTAAAACAAAAAGCCGTTTTTATTGCGAGCAAGGAATAACCCACAAATTTGTCGAAATGGGCGCCTGAAAAATCTCCTGTAGGGCGTTAAAAATTTTATCTACACTGGTAGTTACTTTTTTCCTTGTTGTTATGTGCAAAGTATAAAAGACAGAGTCTACGAATTACTTTTCAGATTTCCAGATGGAAAAAAAACACTACCTTTTGATCCAGCTTCCTCAACTAGAGTTAATTTCATCAAAGAAGTGTCAATAAGCAATTGTTCAAAGAGCTGTACAGTCAAATATTTTTCATTTTGAAATAAACAACTTCATGTTTTAAACAAACACAAGTCAGTTTTTCTTTTCTGTTTCGTTGTGTTCATTATTTATTGACTTTTTTAAACTGTCCGTAGGCAGTGTTTTAATATATTTTGGCATGAAGTTTCTTTTGCTTCTTGTTGTGTTTCATGAGCAAAGTGATCAAGACAAAGAAGTAAAACTTCATGCCAAAAAGAAAAAACTCAAATATGGTTTCACTGCTGCCCCAGACAAAACAATCCTATTGGAAAAACAAAAAATTTCAAAACAGACAACAGAAAGTTGGGAAAACTTAACGAACAAAAGGGCACCTATTTTTTTCCAAAAAAAACTTCAAATTTATAATTTCGAAGAATAAAGCTTCTAGCATTATGGCTTTACAGCTCTTTGAACATTTCATGATTAAAACTTTTTTGAAAAATCTCTGGATCAAAAGGCAAAAAGTTTATTCCATCAGGAAATCTGAAAACTAAATTCCACAATTTTGAAACAAGAATTCGATCATGGATTTTCCATGCCATTTCCTCTTTTTGCAAGGAAGAACGAAACTTGCCTACCTTTTAGCAAATGGACTTGAATTGGAATCAAAAAGTGCACAAATACCTAAGGGCATTAACAAAAGCAATTATATGATTGCATTCACTTTTAGTTATTTTTGAAGCATAGACGTTACCATAGAAACGAAAAAATTACGTTCATCGACTCTTAAAAGCGACTAAAAACTAAAAAAAAAAACGACTAAAAAGTCAAAATGTCATCTCCAATGCCAATTTTTTACGATTTCACTACAAAAATTGAAAGTAAACACTTATGCGCAGAAGAACCCACAGTTTTTTTTCATTTGAACGCTTCATCCCAGATTTTGGAAGGCAGTTTCGAAGAAAAGTGAAGTTTCATAAAAAAAAAGGTCAAAATGTCAAAAAGTGGCCATTTTCAAGGTCAAAACTTTTTTCTATAAAAATTTGTCGTAGCCGCTAATGAATGAAAAAATCGACTGACAATGGAAGAACACAACAAAAATCCAAAAATTGGTCGTTTCGATTGAAATCTTTATCTCAACCATGGCAGGGTATTTTTTGAGAACAAGTTTCACAAAATCGGTCACATTATCAATAAAGTGGCCATTTTTGAGACCAAAACGTTCAATAAAAATTAGATCGTAGACTAACATTGAACGATTTCGACGAAAACACCCACAGTCTCTCCATTTGATTGAAATCTTAATCTCAAGTATGGCAGGGTATTTTTTGAGCAAAAAAAATCACAAAAACGGTGAAAGTTTCACAAAAGGTCATGTCTAATTTCTGCAAAAAAAACGAGGCGAAGTCGCTTATGCACGAAAAGTTTTCAAGAGAAGAGATGTATCTACTCTTGCTTCACTTATGTAGAAAATTGATCTTCTGCTGCTCTCAATGACTCAAAGGAGTTTGTTAAGCTAGTTGTTAATGCTAAAAAATCTTCATTCTAATTCGATAATGCTTGCTAAGCGCCAAATTAAAAAAAGTACAATGTCCGATTACTGAGGCTAGAAATATTGTACAGAGGCGAATCTGAGCTTCGCACCATTTGCGATACAAACACGTAAGACGCTTAGTAGCAAAAAAAATCGACAAATTGAAAATGTCAAAAACACTAGATCTATCAAAATGAAAAAGACTAATTGTTTTTAACAAAAACATGCGACGACAATAGAAAGTAACATAAGCTTCCGGAAGGGCAGATTTTTAAAATTTCGAAAAATGCAGATATTTAAAATGCTACCATGCACAAAGTTTGTCTATTGTGATAGATTTGTTGCTAACAGAGGCTTCCAGAAAATGAGTCTATATGAGTCTTGTGAACAAAATTTTTTAGGGAAAAAGTCTAGTACCCGATTGCAATACCCTAATCTTTTATATACTTACTTATCTAGCAGAGCTTTTCTATTGAGGTCAATTCGATTAATCTGGCCCAGGTCAGCTGACATTTTGTAGTCGTATTTCATGCCCACGCCGACACCTATCTAAAACCAGAAACATATTTACAGAGCGCACCCGTTCAATAACTAGTTCATCCATCAAAGGTTTCCTTTGTTTCTACATCATGATATTTCTTTTTGGGCGATCAACTTAAAAATTTTCTACAGTCTGCATTTTGAGTACCAATATACCAGCGTTTCTCCATCATCGCGAGAAAAAACAACGCTTATACAGAAGAGATTCACACAACCTAGAATTTCTATTGAACCCAAAATCTCAGATTCAAGAGGGTAGTTTTCGAGAAAAGTCAAAAACTTTCAAAAAAACGGTCAAAATATCAAAAAAATTTGCTTTTCCGAATGCCATGACTTTTGATGTCAGAAAAATTTGGGCATAATTGCATAAACAAAGGAGCTTCCCGCAACATGTTCTTGGAATTGAACCCAAAATCTTAGATATGGCAGGTTAGTTTTTGATATGGTAGGAGTTTTTTTGAGTTTAACTCTGATTAGAGAGGAATAGTTTCCGAGAAATCAAAAAAAACACTGGTCAAACACTCCTCCACAGACTTTTTCGAATGCTGTAGACATAGCCGTCAGGTAAAAAAAAGAATCTAGGGGAGTATGCAGACATACAGGAGGTCTTTCAAAAGGTACCCCTTTTTTAAAAATCAAAAGACATTTCTGAGAAAAACTAAAATTTTAGCAAAAACTGAAAACATTTTCCAGTACGAAAAAAAATGAAATTTCAACAAACCGATTGTTAAAACTACAACCAAAGTGATAAGTGCGGAGGGGAAAGTTAAGACTGTGTTTCCCTTGAAACTACCAAAATTAGGTCATTAAGACGATAAAAAGTAGGCCGAAATAATTTGGGCCGGGGAATTTTTTTAGTGAAACAAAAAAAAACAGAAGAAATACGAAGCCAAGGAAAGTAAAACTACAAATTGTAGGAGTAAATCAAACACTAAAAGCAACATTGAAGAAAAATGCGCGCAGCAAAAAAAACGATTCCAAGAAGTGACAACTAAGCCGACAACAGATAAGCAGACAAATAATTGGCAGAAAATTGTATTTGAAACAGATTATTTTCCTTATGAGAAAAAAACAGGTCCTGGTCTGATTCGAACCCAGAGTCTTTGCCAACCCAGACATATTCGTTATCTCCAGGCTAAGTTGACCGGAAACGCATAGAAATTTGAAATCATCATGAACCAAGATATAAGAGATTCTGTTAAACAAGTTGTTAACCCGAAAATGTCTATATTCTGGTTTGATAACGCTTGCTTATCGGAAGCTTAAATACTTTTCCCCAGAATTGAAGCGTGAATACTTTCCCGGGAAATGCAGCGCTATGTTTTCGAAACAACTGTTTCCAGCTATCGTTTGCAGCAAATTAGCTCGATCATTCGGAAAAGAACATAGAAGCAATCAAACAAGCACATAAGCATTACATCTTTCAACGGTTGAAGACATATTCTTACCTGTTTCAGAGCTGATATGTTGAACTTGTTATCCTCAGACAGGTCTGTTTCCTTGTTGAAGTCTTCCAGAAGAAGCAGCTCTTTTGATGCAATATTGGGATCTAGCTTTGCTACTATTGGAAGCATTACATCGTGCCTGTTAACGCAAACAAATATTTTTGTAGTGAAATTTTTTTAAATGAAAGTCGACAACCAAAATTCCAGAGGCAAACCTGTACTTCGCACGCAGGAGCAAAAACGCAGCAGATGTTTGAAAAGTAAGTAGCCAATACAGGGAAAAACGCTTTCTGCTTTCAGACGCCGAAACGTAAAACCCAAAGCCGAAAGGTGAAACAAAATACTAGACTAAACAAGGTACGCGATAAAAACAAAGGGCTTTTCACGGACTTCCAATTGACAATGAATACCGTTACATTGATTATGTCTATTCAGGCAAGTATTTTTTGGCAAGCACTGTTTTTATTGAGGAGTCAAATTTGACGGGATCATCATGAATTCTTTGAATTTTCTAATTACATTAAATTTATTTTCTCATCAGATGTTCGAAATTTATTTAAAATGTCCAAAAAAAATAATGACTTTTTCTAAGATTTAAGATTTTTCGGTCAGCTTCAGGAAAATCTTATGAGCAATTTATCGGAGAAAACCGGCTCAATATGTATTTTGCATTACCGCTGTGAGTTGATAGGACTCCATATGCTTTTGAACCTAAGTAGAAATGACTTTCGCACCGTCTTTACTTTAGTTTTTGGAGAACGTAATGTATCTTCGCCTGTAAATTTGACTTGAAACGGGATCCCTTATTGTCAAACTGACAAAACAAAAACTTTAAGTTGAGCGTGAACAATTTGGTAAAAGAACACGATCATTAAAAGCAAAAACTCACTTAGTTATGAGAAAATGTATGAAGAAAATCTTTCTTACGCTTCCTTCTGCCAAAAATATGATGGCTTTTTCCTCAAGGCAAACGTCCCTACTTGCACTTTTGAGGCTTCGTGAACCGACCCTGCTGCCAACACAGTTTCTGCCAGTCTTAATCCAGCAAGAACACTGTTACTAGCGCATACAGTTTTCACGAAATCATTGCACACTGTTCGAAACATTATTTTTACAACCGTTATTTTTATGAAGAGATAGTAGCAAAAAAATCAATCAAGATCAGCCTATTTGTACATTTATTCACAATCTTAAGCAATCTTCATAAAAAGGCTAGCATCGTTTTTTACATGTTGGCAGTGCATTTTACCTGAAAAAAGAACACAACTTGATTGCTAAACATGAATGATCTTTTCGCCCTCGTGGGAGAATGAAATATCGAAAAGCGGATATGCGAGCGGAAATTCCTCGGCGTGACAGTTCCCCACTCCTCGCAATCTAACATCTGAGTTTCTTGCAAAACTAGTAGAAATTTTGTATAACTTTAAGACTTAGCTGCAGTTTTGTGCTTTATAACAGATATCGAGGATAAAGTTTAGCAACAAAAGATGAACGCGGCTGAACCTAAAGACTTTGAAGAGGAGCTCCAGCACTTAATGGTCAGTGAAAATTGAAAATTTTTAACCTACTAAAAACATTCTTTCATTTTTTTTCTCTGATTATCGTTAATTGAGCATGCTTTTCTTCCACTGAGCGTGAAGAGCAATTTTATTTAGAAATTTTTAATCAAAATTTAAACAGAAACAAGGATAGCCTTTTTTCCAGGATTTTTTTTCAAATTAGTGTAGTTTTTTCTGCGTGGTGTCAAAAAAGGATCTGACGTAAAACTATAATGTAGGCTTACTCGACAGTCAAAAGAATAGGCAAGCTGCACAAAAACTTTTCTAGAAAAATGACTAGAAAAACGAAAAATCAAAAAATAAATTCAAAAAAAATTGCAAAGTTTTTGGTTCCTAAAATGGCGCTAAATAAACTCCAAAAACTAACTTTACTTGCTTAAAGAAAGTTTTCAGGGCCTAAATTAAGCATAAATAAGCTGCAGTAAGCCTTCTCGCTCGCTTTATTAGCTCGGAATTGAAATAAAAAAATTTAAAACAGTTTTCTCGAAACTTGAAAGATTTTGAAACTTTTTTTATGTCTTCAGTTTGCTATACCACTTGGCCCATTCCGATGATTATTCGTGTTACCTCATTTTGAAAGGAAAAAAGAAAACAATAACTAAAACACACCCATATACAAAATTCATTCCCATTTTTTAAATGTTCGGAACAAAAAAACTGATAATTCAACCCCTTGTCGATTGCTTCCAGTTTCTGTGAACAATTTAATGAAGATAACAGATGCACAGGTTTATCCTAATTTCTTAGTCAAAAAGCGGTAGCTTAAATCAACAATGGGTTAGATACTGCCCTCTTTACCCTTTACAACTCCTGCCCTCTTTAAGCGCAACGCTATTTTCTTCTGCCCGTTTTTGATTAACCAACCGTAAACTTCACATGGTTCCAAATGTGTGTGTATGTTTGTGTATTATCAGCGCGCAAACAAAAAGCATCCCATTTCTAACACCTTCCAAAAAATTTGTTATAAGCAGCATTTAATCAGATACATTATTAGCTGAGATGCTGCAAAATTTGTCAAAAATAAGTCTTAAGTTGGACGTCGAAAATCAATTTCAGCAAAAAAAAATCATTGATCGAAAGCTTTTGAATGTATAGGTTCGCTTCTGTCTTGATAAATCTCTCCAATTCAACATGCGAGTAAATTAATTGATAGGAAATATGCCAAAACACAGGCGTTACTTAGCCGACTATTTTGTGTCAATAATCTATTTTTATCTGTGGTAACTATTCAATTGGCTTCATGAGTCTTCCTGAAGGTCAAATTGAATCTAAGGCCTCTATCGTGATACTCTCTCGGCACTCTGTGAACCCAGTCTCTTTGAGTCTCTCCCATCATGATCAGTAAAGATCCACTAGGCAACGGAATCTTTGTGGTTTTTGAACTGTCACCATTACTGTTGGCTGGATTGGCTTCTGATTTGGGTTTCATTTCGAACACTCTCGTTTCTCCGACTGACAATGATGCAATGACTGGTTGTCTTCCGAGACATTTCTCGTCATCTGAATGCCACCCTTTAAGCACAAAATAGCAAGAAAAATGAGCGCAGATAAGGATACAACAAGCGCGATTCTCATGCGCGAAGGACCTAAAAACAAAATTAGCCGGAAGTCAATTTTTAAAAAAAATCAACTGCCATTCAATTAAAACGAATTCAATGAAGCAATATTGTGCATCTTTCATAACGAAACCCTAGAAATATAAATTTTGTTTCCATTCGGCGGTGGTCAGTGACAATTAGAAAATTTTGCATATTTCTGCCGTTTTTATATTCGGCCAATATTAATATTAAGTCCCTGGAAATGTTTATTTTCTTCTAAATTTTAGATTGCTGAAATCTGATTGGCTGATTTGTATTTTCGCGCATTCGGTCCTTCGCATATGAGGGATTCCACCGATACAACTTTCAAGAATGGGGCAGGATGTAGACTTTTTTCTTTTGAACGGGCGAGACAACTTTTTTAAGAATATGATTTTGTCTATCACTGAGCGTGAAGAGCAATTTTATTTAGAAATTTTTAATCAAAATTTAAACAGAAACAAGGATAGCCTTTTTTCCAGGATTTTTTTTTCAAATTAGTGTAGTTTTTTCTGCGTGGTGTCAAAAAAGGATCTGACGTAAAACTATAATGTAGGCTTACTCGACAGTCAAAAGAATAGGCAAGCTGCACAAAAACTTTTCTAGAAAAATGACTAGAAAAACGAAAAATCAAAAAATAAATTCAAAAAAAATTGCAAAGTTTTTGGTTCCTAAAATGGCGCTAAAGAAACTCCAAAAACTAACTTTACTTGCTTAAAGAAAGTTTTCAGGGCCTAAATTAAGCATAAATAAGCTGCAGTAAGCCTTCTCGCTCGCTTTATTAGCTCGGAATTGAAATAAAAAAATTTAAAACAGTTTTCTCGAAACTTGAAAGATTTTGAAACTTTTTTTATGTCTTCAGTTTGCTATACCACTTGGCCCATTCCGATGATTATTCGTGTTACCTCATTTTGAAAGGAAAAAAGAAAACAATAACTAAAACACACCCATATACAAAATTCATTCCCATTTTTTAAATGTTCGGAACAAAAAAACTGATAATTCAACCCCTTGTCGATTGCTTCCAGTTTCTGTGAACAATTTAATGAAGATAACAGATGCACAGGTTTATCCTAATTTCTTAGTCAAAAAGCGGTAGCTTAAATCAACAATGGGTTAGATACTGCCCTCTTTACCCTTTACAACTCCTGCCCTCTTTAAGCGCAACGCTATTTTCTTCTGCCCGTTTTTGATTAACCAACCGTAAACTTCACATGGTTCCAAATGTGTGTGTATGTTTGTGTATTATCAGCGCGCAAACAAAAAGCATCCCATTTCTAACACCTTCCAAAAAATTTGTTATAAGCAGCATTTAATCAGATACATTATTAGCTGAGATGCTGCAAAATTTGTCAAAAATAAGTCTTAAGTTGGACGTCGAAAATCAATTTCAGCAAAAAAAAATCATTGATCGAAAGCTTTTGAATGTATAGGTTCGCTTCTGTCTTGATAAATCTCTCCAATTCAACATGCGAGTAAATTAATTGATAGGAAATATGCCAAAACACAGGCGTTACTTAGCCGACTATTTTGTGTCAATAATCTATTTTTATCTGTGGTAACTATTCAATTGGCTTCATGAGTCTTCCTGAAGGTCAAATTGAATCTAAGGCCTCTATCGTGATACTCTCTCGGCACTCTGTGAACCCAGTCTCTTTGAGTCTCTCCCATCATGATCAGTAAAGATCCACTAGGCAACGGAATCTTTGTGGTTTTTGAACTGTCACCATTACTGTTGGCTGGATTGGCTTCTGATTTGGGTTTCATTTCGAACACTCTCGTTTCTCCGACTGACAATGATGCAATGACTGGTTGTCTTCCGAGACATTTCTCGTCATCTGAATGCCACCCTTTAAGCACAAAATAGCAAGAAAAATGAGCGCAGATAAGGATACAACAAGCGCGATTCTCATGCGCGAAGGACCTAAAAACAAAATTAGCCGGAAGTCAATTTTTAAAAAAAATCAACTGCCATTCAATTAAAACGAATTCAATGAAGCAATATTGTGCATCTTTCATAACGAAACCCTAGAAATATAAATTTTGTTTCCATTCGGCGGTGGTCAGTGACAATTAGAAAACTTTGCATATTTCTGCCGTTTTTATATTCGGCCAATATTAATATTAAGTCCCTGGAAATGTTTATTTTCTTCTAAATTTTAGATTGCTGAAATCTGATTGGCTGATTTGTATTTTCGCGCATTCGGTCCTTCGCATATGAGGGATTCCACCGATACAACTTTCAAGAATGGGGCAGGATGTAGACTTTTTTCTTTTGAACGGGCGAGACAACTTTTTTAAGAATATGATTTTGTCTATCTTTATTAGGCCGCTCAAACTTGCTTCCGAGCTTGCTCTTATCAGTATTGGTATCTCAATTTCGCTAGCCGAACTGCGCCGACGGCTATTTGTGTTTCATCAAAATGAGAACTTGGCGAAGAATTAGTAAGATCAAAAAGTCTTACAAAATGTTAAGAAGTGAATCCATTTCAGTTTTAGGTAGAAGATTTTCTAAGGGATGGTGCAATTCCCTTCCAATAAATTACCTATTGCTTGGTGTCCCGTAGCGTATTTGTTCACAAGTAGAGAATTGCACTCGAAATTCAGCTCCAACTTCTCCTTCAGATATCTTCGAATCTTGTCTTTTACTTCTATCAACATTGGCGGCCATGTTTCATTTGGAGTGTGAGTAGATGATGAATACATATAAGTCACTTCGCCGAACCACGCTATCTCTCGTAACAGCTTCCCTTCTTTCTCGTATTTCTCAAACTTCAATCAACCTTGATTTCATTTCGCTCACAGAAGCCACAAAAACTTAATTATTTTCGAGTGTTTTCCAACCATAATATTTCATCAGTATGTTGAATAATCAATAGAGCTAAGGTTAAATTCAAAATTATCTTATTCAATTTTTTAAGCTGTCCTTTAATAAATGATTGATTCTTTATAATCGCAAGCGTATAAAAATTTCGAGTTGCTTAAGCATTCTCAGTACTCACTCTTCTGACAAGAGTGAATTGAACATGAAGCGCCATTGTAAAGATCGCAAATCAACCCTCGCATGTCTAGCTATTCTTTTCGACTGAGTTAACGACATGATTATTTT